GAAAAGGTTTGAAACTCAAAAACTCTTATCAACATCAGGCATTCAAGCCAACTCACTTCATTGTAGTACCGTTTGGCGGCATGGATATCCTGCAAGAGAGTCCCAAAACAGCCGCAGATATTTTAAATTCAAGCGGGTCAGACATCCCATCTATGGTGCATGGTAATACGTAGTCCCTGATATTCTCCTAAAATAAGTTAAATACGTTAGTAGCGTTTTAATTGTGCCTGGATCACCGATTTCGGCATGTACATCATGTAGTCAATGCGGATACGTTTTATTCCATAAAACACATGCTCCTACTCAAATGGTCTGTGAGGCAATTTTTTGTTAATTATCAAAACAGGTTTTTTGTACGTGGAAACTCAAGCCTCCACCTTTGTACTTTCGCTAAGCGGCGTGGCCTCCGGGCCTTGCCAGTAGCCTCCCCCAGCCCTTCTCTCCATCTGCAATATATAATCCGCCCGATTACTATGTTTTCTTTTGGCTTCAGAAAAGTCTCGATGTGCTACGCAGATTATGCTAAGGAATTTGTCTCTAGTATTATCAACATAAATCCTAAAACTAATCTACTCAAGTAGCCTGGAATGGTGATGTATCCGATGACAGAAACAAGTTAGACCGGTACCTGCTAAAACTACTTTCAATGCTGTTGACTGCCGAAATTTCTGCTTCCTAAAGTATCTTCCTCACTATAGCATTTTGCCCATCAATTACGCTGTTTCCGCATAGGCATCGGCTTAACAAATGCTGGCATATCAGCATAAAAATTTTGCGGTCAGTTTTACTAGCAACAGCATTTTTAACAAGACGTCAGAGCAATGTGATGTTGTACACTGGTAAATACAACATTTGACATGCTTTTGCATTTACTACATGACATTTGTGGCATAACCCTGTTTTCACTTACCAGTGCAATGGCCGTAAGGGTGACCACAACGTTTACGCATTGGCTTGGCCGAATGCAACCTTGCGTTGGGAATAAACTTACACAGACCGACCTCAGTTCTGTGCATTCAGCCTAAATGCGATGATGGTTTTAGAGGTTTTTTTTCGAGTAAATAAGAGACGCATTTCGTTTTGCTGATTTTAGATTTCGAGGTTTGGTTTTGATGTCAATAGGAACTACCAGTATGCATTAGGAGGATGGGCATTTGATAGTCTAGGCAGTAAAAGGGAATTTAGGTCTGTAATGCATCAATTAATGGATAAGAACAAGACTGGGATATTTTAGAAAAACCAAATGATTGCAGAAAGATTCGTACGGTAGTCTGTTTGGTACAATAACTGCCATTGCAATTTACCAGTTCTCTTCCAACAAAACGCATTTCCACCAATCGTACTTTCTTAAAAAGATTTGCCCTAAGAAACAAAACCCAGTCATAACCACCCTCTCTTCTGTCTTATTTTTATTTTCAAGCTTTCTGCTCTATTTCGCAAGTAATTATTTAATGATCGAGAGCTGATGTCAAAAAAGGTGTTAATCAGGAGTAGCAGACACTTCAATAGGGAAATTGTGAAGTGGGCGCATTTGCACATCCACCTCGACATTTACTTATCTATATTATTTACGTAAATAGCGATAATTGTCACCTGAAGAAACATCTGACGACTACGAAAGATGAGGCAAAACAGCGCCTTAACCCCCTTCTCCCTCTCTTATACCCTAAGGTTACTTTAAAGGGTACCACATCTCATGAGAAAGCACGCCATCATTACGAGGTGTCGCTTTGTCATGTGCAAATCAGAGTAGGGCCATCTCCTCCACCATTGACTGATTGAATAGTCATGTCTATTTGGCACAAAAAAACAGGAAAAGCGCTAAGAATTCCAAGACCAGGAAGAAGAAGGAAGGGAAAAAGAGGGAGAAAGAGGAGAGGGGGTGGGAGGAAAACGGAGGAAGTTTTCTTGCATATCTTCAAGTTGTTTGAAACACTCTCGAGTAGATAAATGATGGATAGACGGATTGACGAAAAAGTGCAGAGACAGAGAGATAGATAAGGATATAGATAAATAGCGAGAGAGGTATATAGATGCAAGGAAATGGGTTAGTGTAGCATAGACAGTACTTGCTACTGTGAATTCAACCACTTTCCTCCTATTACCAAATGTCATTTTATATAATGTGGGTTGAATGAGCCGCGAGATCTTCCGCTTTGTCTACTTCACTAGTCAAGTTGAATTTGCCTGCAAAGTTGCAGAAACCAGCTTCTCAGCATAGCCACCTTTGCTGAAGACCATTCGAAGAGAAGGTGGTGACAGATGAGGTGGCAAATCGTAGCATTCGAAACCGAGTGATCCAAGTGTTTATTTGAAAGGTGGTGATAGAATACTCAAGAGTGAGACTGTTGCATCAATATTGGCAGGAAAGTCCGCTCTTTGCAGTGTTACTGTACAGTCAAATAATGGTCGAAGGGGGTGTCAAGTCAAACTTTTAGTAAAGCTTCACCCGAGTGATAGAATACTTGGTTAACGTGGACACCAAACGGGATGGCGAGGTTGTGGTGACAGCTCGTCAAACAGTTCTCGCATGCCAGATAACAAATGACAAGTGAAAAATGCCTTTGTGCCGAATCAATCTGTTGCATATTTCCTTCACCTGCGTCACGCAGTGAAGTGGCGCCATTGCTGTGGCCTAGTTGGTCGTTGACCCACTGACAGACTGATGAGAAGCAGTGTAAATAATTCAATGCTAGATGACCCGAAACATCTCATCATAGATCATTCGCAAACAATGCACCCACTCTAACTATCCCATACTTCTGAGGCACGCATTATCTCATCCTTACAGGATTATGCCAGATATCCCATCTTGTGGCTTACTGAAAATCAAGCCATTATGGATGATACATCCCCCACTGTCTGCAAAACGACGCGGTCGAAAGATGTACAATAAAGAGCCTCACCTCTAAAAAAGTCAGGGTAGCCAAAACTAATCTACTACTGGGAATAAAGCCCGATTCTTACAAGTCATTCAAAATCCCAAACGTCATAAACCCAAAGAACATAACTGTGAGAAGATTTTACCTTTGATTGAGTTGATCGGGTAATATTGTCTCATCTTTTTTATCTTCATCCTCCGTATTACTCTCATAGCATTTCTTCAAATTGTGATTAATAGGCTTTTTCGGGACCACCACTAGACAACCACACGACCACATAAATTTGGACGTGATAGGGGTGTTTTTAGTTAAGGGGAAAGATTTTAATGGTGATTATTCCAATGAATAAAATATTATAAGAAGTTCTCTGTAGTTAGTTGATTTTTATTTTATAACTGCACGAATTAATTTGTTGGCTTGTTAAAAAATAATATTTCACGGTAGGGTGGAAATGAAACTCGTAATGAAAATGAACACTTAATCCACTTAATCTCATCTAGAATAAAAACATTCTCTTTGTTTATGAACTTGCTAACCAGATGATTTATATTTCAAACTTCGCCTTTTGAAATTCATCAGTCTCATATTTTGCCTTTAAGCAATTTAGAGTTGGTGAACTTACTGTTAGCCAGCAAAATTTGGCTGGCACCGGACTAGGATTCTTCAATTTTATGTCAAAACTCCGAGGAATAGTTACATAGAGTTTGTCAATTTGAATTTCTTGGGGTTCCATTGTGACATTCGCAATTTGGGCATCTCCCATCAAGCTGAGAGTTCTTCGTATGTAAAAGAAAATGGTAAGTTAAGATTGCAATTGTAGCTCTTAAAATAAATTTCTTTTTAGTATTCTGGCTTACCTTGGAGGTAGCGGGGCTCCTTCCACCCTGAATTCGACTTCCTCCTGGAAGTAATCAACACTTTGTGGATGGAATTTTACCCAGATCGGCTGTTCTTGTTTTGGTTTAATAGTGCCCCTTGAAGGTCTGATGGAAAATGGTGAATCTCTCTGCAGTTTTTCAAAATAAAATTAACTACTTACAAAGGTTTTAGCCTAATTATAAAACTGGGGGACCTTAGCAGACCTCTTGTGGGCAGTTAGTAGACCACGTTAGCGAAGTGGAGGAGGAATTACGCAGGCACGTCTCCTTTGTAAGGCTTTGGTCCGGACACACCACTCCAAAGTCAAGAAGATCCGTTTTAAGCTCAACTGATGGCGACTAAATAAGTAGAATTCCTTTGAACAAAATCACGTACTTGAGTTTACTCACCAAGGTATCAAAATAGATTTGTAAGGAGGTTGAGAACGCCTAGTTTCTGAATTTGTGCATTAACTTGAGCCACTAGCTAATGTTCCTATTTTTGCGGGTCGTCTCGATCTACCGCTCACTGAAACGCCTTCTCGCGAAGGCCACATTTTGGATGTTTGCAGTTTTGTGAGTACAAATATGACATCTATGCTACTGGCTAATAAGTATTTTCAAACTTACAATAACTTCACATGAAATTCGCAAGAGGACTGTGGTCTCTGCACTCTCACTTAGTTTACAGGGCAGCAAGTACTGCATTTGACCCAGTCCCTTGGGTGTTATTGAAATGTTGACTGTCCTTGTCTCTAGCGCCAGGAGTAGCCCACTTTCTGGACAGAATGAAATGCTAGAATCCTCCTCATCGGATCGTGGTAACGTCCAACAGAAGCCTACTGGACAGGTGGCAGAGGGATTCGACATCTACCATTGGAAAACGAGAAAGGTAAACTTATACGGCGTCTCCTTCCCCTTGTGAAGTTCAATTATTTCACTGTAGGAATTGTATGTCCTTACGCGATTTGGTAGCAGACGAAAAGCACTTTATCTGTGCAATCATTAATGAAAGCTTTGTTTGTTAGTTACTTGCTGATGGAACTGTGAACGAGGTTTTAAAGGTAAATCATTTTAATGCGTTCAATGATCTGTTGATAGCGCCGGTTAATTTCAGCAGCACAAAAGCAGTCAACAAATATTTAACTGGCATGATCCCAACAATTTTCTGCAGTTCAACATCATACTGCTAGATTGTATTCGTGCATTGATAGATAAAATATTTGAATAATTTTACATGAATATTGTCCTCAATGTAAAAATGTGTTAGCGTGACATTTACCGCCCTAGACACTTCAGGGATTGCCCACCTACTAAGTGGTCTTTAATGCCACGTTTTTGTTCTGAAAACCTTTCCAACAATAACAACAAATCATTTAATTACAAAATTATTAAATTGTACCGGGAAGCGTCTAGGTTACTAACTTGTCCACATTCAATTTAACACATTATTGACTGTGATTTGTAAGACTGTAGAAAGGCTTTAGGTATAGAACTACTGGAATATGTGATAATACCCTTAAAAATAAAACCGCAAAATTTAGTGAATCAATGTGTCAGGCACACTTGACCTCGTTTCTCCGTCGCTATGCCACGTACATTCTTCATGCGCTCACCCCACGTATCTACACTTGTGTTAGTGACGTGGCATTGTCATTGAATGCGTCAATATGTGCTTACAGCCAATGTCAGGAAGTACCTTAACTTCAATCCTTGCTGTTTCCGTCAAAATGACAGGATCTGGCAGAGTAATAGCCTCCGGTGATAAAGTGATTACCGATGAGGTAACAGTCGTGGAAGCGCAAAGCTTTAACACCTCAAATATCTCTTCACATTGGATTTGTGCTGCGCGGATGGTTAGAGTCGTGTCATGTTTTCCGAGCTAAAAAAAGTGTACAAGATGGATAAGTAGTAGGCAGATACTCTATGCAGGGCTGGCAGGGGCCAGTTATGGGGGTGGTAGGAGCGCAGCTACAAACGCACCCCTGTACGTCACGGGCATCTCAGGAGCTCCAGTGATAAAAAATACAATGTTCAAGAATTTGCCATTGTTTTGACGTGGAGTTCAGGCCACATTAGGCTCAGTCATCCAGTTAGAACTGCCAATTGGATTAGGGAATGAACTTTCTCGACAAAGGAGTAGTATCGATGACTTTAAGTGTTCACTAAAGGGCTTTAGTAGTGAGCCCTATCTCAAACTTTAGAAGCAATCACGATTACACTAAAACAACTCCAGAACCTCATTTGTGGTTTTAATTACCCTTAGAGCAGTGTTCAGTATTTTTACTAATTACCTAATTAGTAGCAAGTATTGCCAGTCCTTAACAGATGTTTCAGTTTATATTTATTGCCTCGTACCTTAGATAAGCAATGCAGTAAAAAATTTGTTCATCTTTTGCTCATTATGGTAAAAGGCTTGAGATCTGAACTAAAGCTAAAAAATGTGGGCAGAAAATTTTTCACCTCCTTATGTGTGAAGACATTACTTCGACTTAGAAACTATATTTACACTTTGACACATAAAATAAAGAGTCCTAAATTCCTACCTTCTCAGAGCAGAACGTTACGTTTAGGCGGATAAAAGACTTTGGCAAAAGTATTAATTCCTCGAAAGATGTGCTGAAATCTGATGGCAAGTCCTCCGGGGCACCGTCTTCTTTATCGAGATGCATGCAAAGCGTCACATTTCTTAAAAGCAGCCATTAGAATGCGCTCTCTTACCCTTCATTTCTCAACTTAAGTTGACGTTCAAGTTGAAAGCCTGGATACACATCTGGTAACTGGCAATAACCAGTTATGTAGCCATCATTATGTAACTCTTTCCCAAGAAGCCATGCATTTTCGTCATTCGTTTCTTCCACTAAATCCACTTGAAGGTCTTCCCCGTAACCTAAAATACCCAAAAATTTAGAAATGTAAATTAAATTCTGCTTGAATACGAAACTACCGCCAGTAGACCTTACCGTAACACACAATCTCGCCAACACATTGATTGCTCGACTCAACTTGAAATATTGTCTTGAACTCTCCACTAACTGGAGGTCTAAATTTGACCTGCATTTCTGTGGGCATTTCCTGGAGGATTTCGAATTCCTTCGGCAAAATATTGAATACACCATTCAAATCCTAGGCATAAAGAATTATCCCTGGCGCCGGATGCTACTTGTTTGTTAAAAGTAGGAAACGCAACTCACGGAACGGAGACTAATATGAGTACTCTTTTTTGAGGAAAGATTCAAAGGAAACAGCTTGCTTATTGTTGAGTTCACAAGACAAGGACCCATGTCGACTACTCGAGGAACTATATTTTTTGATGTATTAAGGCAGTTTTAACGGCTCACAGGTAATATGCGCTTCTTTCCTCTTGGCAAAAAGCCGTACTCTCAGTGGTTCTATTCCTGGACGGTAAAAAATTTGAAGGGTCTCGCACACTTCGTCTTGGAGATTAGACGCGATTAGTTTTACCAAAAAGGAACAGGAGAGACCCGGTGCGATCAAATTGCTGCTCTTTTGTGGATAGCGCCCTAAAAGATAATGAAAAGATTATCTACTTAAGATGTAGCTTGGTTTTTTTTGGTTTGAAACACCTCATTTTTAAATATGCATTTACAGGTGAACGACTCAAAGTGAACTAGGATTTTTGCAACTCTTTAGTCGTTTGCTCAACTCTTCGCTTTGGTTATGCAGGCATTCAAGATTCCGCCAAGTAACCTGGCCTTTGGGCCGTACCGGTAGTCCTCAGCCCCTCTATTCCTTGGCAGTGCACACTGTGCCTAAGCATTATGCTTTCTTTTGCCTTCAGGGAGGTCACAGGACATCGTCCTTAATGGTTTTTTTGAAAAAGAATAGCGGATTATTTAAATTCCAATTCTATATTGCCACAAAGAAGAACTACTTGTTTAATAAAAGTAGACAACACTTATTTGTCCATTTCACCAAAAGAAGTAGATTAGGCTCTGAAATTTAGAACTCATCGCGGTTTTTGTTGTAATTAGTAAAAAGAGGTATGGAGTTAACGTAGAGTTTTTCGAGTTATTCAGATATTTGCTAACGTGAAATTAGGTGTACCAGGAAGCAAAAACCTATTGTAGTCCTCCTAGGACTTGCGAATGAAGGTATTATACTGCGGCCAAATATGTATTATCGATGTACAGAAGGGCTCGAAGGGCTACCAGTACAGCCCAAAGGCCAAGCCGGCCGGCGGAAGTGCGATGGCAGAACCTTAGTACCCGCAAAACCAAAACGAAGAGTTAAACAAACAATGTTAGATTTCTTGCTTTTAGAGTTGTTAAAAACTCACAATGTCAAATTTCCCATCACAACTCTCCAACACCAATCAATTCTACTGAATCTACGCTGCCATTTAAGACTCATCGCTTTCGAAAGTTCTCACTTCTACGTCATTTTTAGTAAGTGATTTTGATAGCATAAATTTATCATGCAGAATTATGGCGTAGGGTTGATTGATACATTAGCTTTCCACTGATTAAAAGTCCCATTAAGTGGTATTTTCATATGAAGAGGGAGAGATGTGCGGCTTCCCACGTTTCCAATGCAGCTGAAGGCATTTGAAATTCCAAACTGACTTACATGTACTGCAAACATGTAAGGCCATGGAATACATTTTGTAATACAGGAAGGAGAAATGAGGCACCTAAGCAAGTCCTCTCACAGACGTAACCCAGGACTGCTGTGAATGCCGCAGTTTAATGGCACACCGATTCAGGTCAGGCTGCACCTTATCATTCTAACGCTCAAGCTTCTCCATCAGCAAACCATAGATGAGAAAAAACTCGGCTTCTGAACAATTTAACGCCCGTTTGCCTCATCCAAAATGACCAAGTCCTTGGAATGTCATCGGAATTGGGTGAACTTCTGCGGGGCATCAACATACCATACCGTATGTTTTCCACTCCGGAAATTACATCACTCCATACTGCAGTTCCTGTGTTTCAGTATAAGTACTCAAAAGTGGATTACAATCTCCTTATAGTGCTTTTCAGACCCATATTTGGCGCACTGTAATGATAACTGGGTTTATGACAGGGGCAACCATCTAGCTAGTGAGAGAACTCGATGTATTTCTGTGAGCGAAAAGAGACCCTTAACTTTCAATAAACATAAACGATGAATGTTTTAGTTTCTTTCGCAAGAATCCAGTCGGTATTCGCATTTCCTGATTACCAACAACGAATCATTAAGGCAAAAATAGGTCTACTGAAGGTGAAATTCAGTACGCACTGGCTAGGATTGGGGTAAATATTTAAAGAAACGAGTTTAATAATGAAAAATATGCCCTAGTTCCACATAAATTGATGGAAAGGGGATGAAAGTAATAAATTTTAGTGCTCATACGCAAAAAATTCGAGGAACTCAAGGAGAGATGAAGTAGTTAATTACAAAGACAATAAAAACTTGAAAATTGCGATGAATAAACTCTAAAATCAACCGTACCAAACGATAAGTATTAAAAAACGTTCATAAAACATAGATCCATTAAAAACTAGCATTAAGAAGTTAAATCAGCCCTGAAAATCAAATCAAAATTTAAAGAAGTAGAAATTCACCCAACCAGCCAATCGCACGACACTTCTGAGAGTTTTGGAATCGATGAAATATTTTTAATAATTGGGGAGTTGTTGCAAAATCTCTGATAAATTAACAAAATATACATTGTGCTCCACTGAAATATGCATTTTTACTTACATCTGACCTAAAATAAGGGAGAAATACCAGTTCAAATATTGATAGGTCTCCGACAATGGTAACCGACATAGCCGAGTAGTCCATTTTCAAAAGCAATTGACGCTCAATTAAAATGATGTACAACATAGAAAACCACATTCTCCATAAGAAGACATTCTGTAAATACCGGTAATGTAATTGTTTTAGATTTTCTTTCATCCAGTTCTGTGTATCAACAAGTTTTCCAAAGATGAACAAATTTTTTTCTCAACGATTTGCAGATTCAAGGCGCTGTAACTTGCTTGCAATAGTACAAAATTCACCAATTATAGGTTTGTGCGAAAACAAAATTTGTTATTTATCGGAGGATTTGGGTAATTTGCTGCGATACTCTTAAGTAACCTCAGTAAATTGAGTTAAATGAGGACTATCATGGTATTCCACGATGCAAACCCCCGTGCAACGAATTTTACCGCACGCGCGCGTAGTGTGCTTGGATGCGAGCTAGTAAGTGCATTATATAAACAGGTGAAGGGTGGTGCGGCAGTAAGAAACCTTGTGACCAGTGCGATAGTTGCCCATCCCCATGGTTGCTGCGACTGCTGCATCTGTCTCGAAAGCCTCCAAAGCTGCAAAGGCTCCGGCTTCTCACCCACCTTTCGCTAAGATGATAGTTGAAGCTATAGCCGCGTTGAAGGAGAAAGGGGGCTCTAGCCGTCAGGCCATCCTAAAGTATATCAAGTCGCACTACAAGGTGGATGAGCGGATCGCTGAGGTTAACGTTCGGAGGGTCCTCGTCTCAGCTACTGCTTCTGGCAAGCTGATTCGGGTGAAAGGAGCCGGGGCCAGTGGCTCCTTCAAGGTTGCCTATAAAGCTGAAAAAGCGCCTGCTGTATCATCGGTCGAGAAGTCCAAGAGGGCTGTTCCTGCGAAGCCCAAAAACGTGAGTGCTGCGGTAAAGAAGCCTGTCGCTGTAATTTCGGCACAAGCCCCTAAAGCGAATCCCAAGCCGAAGAAGGTTACAGCCGCGAATCTCAAAAAGGCGCAAGTCAAAAAGGTGACGAAAAGGGCTGCAGCCGCGACCAAGAAGGGGAGAGTGGTCAAGACGAAGAAGCCTGCTGCTAAAAAGATGCCCAAGAAGTCTGCCATTGGCGCCAAGAAATAGTCATTTCTTTCTTTGTCGATGTATATATGTGTTTACCTACTTTTGTATATACGCTTTATTCTACAGGGTGCATTCTCATGAATGGCTCAGGTGGGCTGGTGCGAGTCGGTTTGGCGAGTGAGGGTGGTTCCTTACCGTTCCCAATCCTGAAGTACTTCATTTGCGAGGTGTCTAATTGCAGGGAACACGTCGCTGGAGAGGTGTTTGTCAGGTTCAATCTTTCCTAAGTACGAAATGTAAAACCACTGGCCTCCGGGCGGGTTGGTTGTGTTGCTACCTTCATTCTTTCCCCAGGTTCTGGGTGTATCTCCTTGGGTCTGGCTTCGGGTATGGGATGGTTTTGGGCCTCGGCGGGAAGATATCGCGGGTTTCTCTTGAATTGGACCTGAAGTAAGATGTATCAGTTTTGCGGGTTGAGGAGCTACTTCGTGGCCATTGTTGTTAGTGCAGTGTATCAATTTGTAGTTACGTACCGGCGCTCTAAAGCGGTCGATTAATTTACTGCCTTCTGTCACATGGATGGCACTTCCACCTGAAATCGAGTTCATTCATGTGCAAAAGATAAGGGTCTAAATGTCTAACTCGTAGCTTAATGATGCCACAGTTAATTTTTCCTAATTTTTGGTTGACCAGGAGGCAAGGATTTCAGAAATGTGGCATATCCAGTTTTGTCATTTTCACTCTTTAAGAATTTTAGCAATTGGGACATTTGTACGGGAATTTAATAGCATTGAGAATGCCGATACACAAATTCAAGGATTTACTACTAAGAGAAAAGAAGATCCAGTTCTTTTTTGAAAACGTTATACTCCTAGAAGCGTAGTGAAGAGAAAATTTTGAAGGAAAAACAAGTAGTAGGTTATCTAATAAATAGCTAGTAAGTCCAATATATATTAAAGCATTTTGAACACCAGCAACATTCCAAAAATGGTGATTATCACGGGTACGGTGCTATGTACAGTTCACAGGTGTCTGTCACTGAAACGCATTTTTATTGAGTCTAAAATGCAAACACAGGCTTGCTGTAATAGTCGGTGGAATAGTACTCAAACACTGCCAGTCACACTCAAGTGCACGAACACATATGAGAAGCATTCTGGCACTACACATGAAGATTTTTGCTAGCGCAAGATGCATATTACGATGCAAAGCATAAAACTTTATCCAAAAGTGGGCTGTGCCTAAACTCATTACATGTTTACAAAGGTAGATTTCCGCCAATGGGTTTACAAAAAAGTTTGCTGTGTAGCAGCAAACAAAATACTGTAAACTGCGAAATTGCCTGTAAAAACTTTATACTGTAAGAGATACACACAAAGGACAGGCTTTTAAAGCTCTTGAAAATTACCATAAAAACTCTCTTAAAATCACTAAAAATATTTTTCGCCTTTCGTACATCGAAGGGATGCATTGACCATATCTGGTAAACTCAACTGAATTTCCGGGTAACCACTAGTGACTATTAAATGACTTAGTAAAATGCAACCAATTTTATCAAAATATTTAAATCACATTAATTTCACTACTATTCACTAAAGTACGGTTAGATTATAAAACCGATTATTTGCAAAGCAGTAGTATTAGAGGCCAAAACTTTATTGGAGGTTGAGTATCAACTACCTTACCCACCAAACTTTAGAAAAAGCTAAAATATTGTAGCTATTGTTGTCGCAAAATTTTACAGAAAGTACCTCCAATTAGGAACAGATTCAACACTTATTTGGCATAACGTGAAGGAAGACTTTTCCCCTTGCCAGATTTCTACTGGCCACTTTTGCTTTAAAAAGCAACTCTTCTAAGTCGAAGGAATTGGTTCAATTGTGGCGTGTCGAGGCTTCCCTAAAGACGAAGGAAGACATAGCACTCGGACAGAATACATATATTCGACGTACAGAGGGTACTTGCGGGCCACCGGCATCGCCCGAAGGCCAGCCCACCCGGCCTGGCATGGTGGCCAAGTCAAAAGTGGCTCTTCATTAAAGCCGAAACTTAAACAGCCATCGTATTATGGAGTACTGTCAATTGTCTATGGACGATACCAAGAACTAATACAGGTACTTTATGGTTTTGTTACATTAAATATAAATTATTTTGTACCACCGATGCTTAGCAATTACCGCATAACCTCTGGTTTTGTCTCGTAAGTAATGCCTATGAGATGAATCACCCGCAAAGTTTGGGTTAGAAATAGGAGGCTGTTGGCATAATTTATGTCAATTTCGTCGAATCTTTATTTTAAATATATATCTTCCCCTTGTAAAAACGGGACGAATCCGCAGTTTTATTTGGCCGATTACACCAACTAGCTGAGAGCGTCGACTTTTTGCATACTTTTATTGGCGCAAAGGTAAACTTCATGAATCTCTACGATTAATTTTGGCAGTGTGCGCAAGGTACTTTACCTCGAAACTTAATTCTCGAATCACTCACTGATGGAGTGGCTCAAAAAGACTGAAAAATAGCATGTGAATAACATCAACATAACAACCCGAGTGCTTTAATGTGATATTTCAACTTTTATTGCTATTTTAATCAAGCGAGACCGTAGCGCCACTTTACGCATAACCATCATAACATAAGAGTGAAAGCTTTCCAACTACTACTGCAGCCAGCTGCACTATGGGTTCTGTGGTTGTGAAAATGTTGATTACATTTAGACTATAATTACCAACAGCTAGCAAATTTTTAGGCTACTTCATCCCCAAACCATTATGCACGAATGCAGAAGTGACGGGGCTGTAGCAACACTAAAAGACGGAACCCTCATCCATAAATTCCATCTACAATCATATGATATGGTCGGGTGGGTTGTGGTGTAGTTAAGCCCGTCGAGTGCACTGTTTGAATTCAAGATGTGTGGATTTCGTAAATTATGAGGAAACAGAGGCATATTCTAAACATGACAGGAAGTGGTAAAAACATTGGCTTACACATCACTTTTCGTGTGCTACCAATGGGGATTTCGATTTTGACACAACTTCGGCTGTTCAGTCACCTAAGTTTGATTCAGTTTATGAACACTTATTGTTTTTTTACGAACTTGTGTGTCATGTTGTACCTGCGCACTTTTATTATCTACAAATTAATTAACCTGATTGCTTCGCTCATTGTATAAGCGGTGAGGCAAACCCATACTCGAGTTCCGTGCTTAAGCAGATTTGCACACCTGCACGATAGCGCCTGTTTCGCTAAACCTCTTCAAGTGTTTTTTCGTCGGTTCAAGGCCGTGGCGCAGACCAGTGACCTCCCTGCATCGGCAAAATGACGAAAAAGTGGGTCATTTGGGTGCATCTGAACCCAATTTTAAGGCCAGCCAGCCAACCTGACGAATGACTTAACAACAGTCAAGTAGTGTGTTGGTGCAGTCAGCACAGTGTTCCATCACCGTGCGCCCGTAGGCCAGGCAACTGCACCAGCATTTAGTAGTGGGTTCGTTGCGCCTTGCGTGAACCGCACGCTGGCAACTAAATATTGTGACCCAATATCATCGCTGTGTCACAATTTAGGTGCGTGAGTAAGAATGTTGCTATACAAATCGACTGTGTGCGTTTTTAATGTGAAATTTTTTTGAGGGGAACATACATAAATCATAAAGTTCGTGTGGAACTTAGGTTCCACGATGATGTAAAAGTCGGTTTTTGGTGTTAACAACGTTTCTGGGCTTCCCCTTGCAAAATGTGCAAATGGTTTTAGTAAATTTTACCATTTTACTAATTCTTCGTGTGTGAAATTGAAACTGTGACTTGGGTCTCTGCCTGCTAGGTGCGAAGTAGTAACGTCGAGGTAGTCGATTTCCGGTGTCTCTGTTTAAGTTCTCACTATCATTATGGTTTGCTGTAACAATTGGATGCGTAAAAGTCGCACGAGCCGCTGGGCTTCCACCTCGAACGGGTAGAAGACCAAATGTATTTCCAGGCTTTCAAGGGAGTGATTTGGAAATGCAAATGGAAATGACAGCTATGGAACATAATACTTTGAGGTCCTCTTGTCCATGACTCCCGTTAGAGAATATCTCAGATGTATCTAAGACTAACCTTGAAGAAGAGGTCTCGTTCTTAGAATACGAGATAATGATAAGTATTGTTGACGAATGATTAAATCAGCTCTGAGATTAAGAAATTCTGGCATTTTTTATGTAGAGGCAATGCCATTTACCATCTGAAAGGGACAGGAATAAGCAAGTAGAGCAGAAACAAGTATTTTTCCCTCTAAAGGAGCCGATTTATATGTCCCGAAACTGTGGCTCTCTGCTAATACGCAAACAAATAGAACGCCCTGCTAAAGGAGCTAGCACTCTAGTACCACATTGCCGTAGTCGCTCATTCTTCGACTTTAGATTCCTTGGTGGTTTTTCGGTTAATATTTGCATGCAAGCGAGTTTCGACTTTAAGCTATTGCGATTCATTAACAATGCAGTACGACTTTTGAAGACACTGCTTCACTTCTCGAGGTCGCTTCATTAATCCAAAATCCATCCTAAGAGTGCCACACTGTTCAAAGCATAACACCAGTTCCTGTCGCTGAGTGATATGCGATTCATCAACTTCTACTAAAGCTACCCTCAGTTCACAGCCATTTGCCCTAATCTCAGTGCAAATCGCTCTCAACTAATGCCGTCCACTGGGATGTAATTTCTCAAACCACCCTCTAAATTGCAAAAAGATAACTTTCCTGATCGGAAAGATGGCTCTTTCATGTCAGACAAAATACGTGAGAGGGATTTTATTTTCACTGCAATTGATCTGTAAGGGACGCCTCAGATGGAAGCTACGAGTTAAAGCGTGCGGTTTAGATGGGTAGGGGAACACCATGTTGATGGCTCATAGGGAAGGAGCAGTCAAACACTGTGGCCAATCTTATGTTCGATGAATAAAAGATGTTCACAAAGCACTATTTCAGTCGAGAAAGTGGAAGTCTGAAAACACCCACATGTGGACGCGAGCACACAAGCCATGCCACCATCATGGCGGAGGACACCCGCACTGTAGCGCCTGATTTGACACCAATCTCCTTCGTTTCTAAAAGGTTTGACAGCACTACAGCCACGCAAACGCTGCTACAAGAGTAGGCTTAACGTCCACCTAAACCGTCCCCGCCCCGGCCCCGGCCGAAGAGCAACCCACGGTTTAAGGTGGCCACTACTTTGCATCGAATCATCAACCTGTAGACAGGAACAATCCAATTCTTCATGGGGCAAAATTGGCCAGGTGAGATCGTGAACCATGCCACCGCCCAACGGACGGGTTGGGTAGACCCTCAGTGAGTCAGTAGAGCAGCCTCAGTGACGAACTGCCAGCACATAACCCCACAACTTGGTTGCAGGTCACCCGCTACAGCCAATACCACGTATGCGGACAATTCGATGCACCTCAAAGGCCAGCCACCGGTAAGGTTAAAAAGTTCACACCGCAAAGTACAACACTAAAATAGGACGCGCAGAATAGCGTCGCTCGCTCCGCCACCTCATCAATCCGCTTAATAATGATGAATAGCAACATCTAATACGCAGCACCGATCTGAGAGAAGAATTAACTTCCCAAACACTGAAACCGAATTGCTGAATTTGTCAGGGCAAAATTCCACTTCAAGAAATCTTTGCAGGAATCTACAGTGGGAGCATAGGATGATTGAGTAAGAAGGATCTGGGGACATGAAAGAGGATCCCATGGGTGCAGAGAGAATATAGCAAGTGGCAGAAAGGGTGTAAGGTTGCGAGTTTTGATGAGGGCAATAAAAAGGCAAGGTGAAAAAAGGTCAACAATGAAGCCAAGAAAAGTCAGCAGCGTGTAAACAATTTTTTACATATAAACAATCACTGGAGCGGAGATGCATGACGGAACAGAGAAGGATGGGAAACCGAGAAAAGTGAGGAAGAAGTTTTGTATTAATGAGGTGGTTGATCGCCTGAAAAGTTAAAGCTGCTTGGAACATCTGTCTGCTGAAAATTGTAACCACCGGCCTTCTCGATTCGCTTTGATTCTACAGAAGAATATGACAGAGTTATAAAATCCGTTAGAAATTCGAAATAAAGCGTATAAACGGAAAACCTAGTCCGGAACAATAGCAAAACATAACCAATTGTCACAATCACTCCTTAGAAAGTCTCAGTGGCACATATAATATGCTGAAAGAAAACGAATCCGCTCCTCTCGGTTCCTAAGGGACTCTTTCTAATTATCAAATGAAAAATGTACAGTTTTGATTTCAACTGACCCACACACCTTTCTGAGCCATGCAATTGACAGCGGTCTTGGCAATTTCCTTGAATTCGGTTTTCTGTGACTCCGAGAGGGGGCTAACAAGGCGCTGGTACCAGGCAGCATCACCCGTTTCCATTTGGGTCATCAACTGATAGAAGGTCACATACTCATCCATTTCATTTTCCTCCTTGTCAAGTTCGGTTTCAAATGACTCAATTACTGAAGTTGCCTCGAAGTAATCATCATCATCGTCGTCATCATCATCGTCTTCGTCCGAGTCCCCCATTTCCGCCTCCTCAAAAACGTGAGCAGATTATATAGAGTGGGAAGGGATTGAATTGACGCTTTCAGGGGCAACTAATGACTTACAACCGCCTCAAGAAGTTCAAGATACCGAGTCCCCTCCTCATCAACCACATCGGCATCGCTGTCAACCGCTACGCCATCATCAGCATCTTCATCGACCTCCAGACCATCGGCATCGGAATCACTTTCCTCCTCTTCTGTGAGAGAAGCAGCGTAAATAGGAAAATGCAGAAAGCGACCCAATTTTATGGAGAAAGGAATGGGCAAACCTACTCTCCATTTCCCTTTTGGCGGCGTACGCATCCTTGAGACTAGTGAGGACGTGAAGGAGGGATGGAAGGTACTGCGCCGCAATAGCATCAACAGAGGGAGGTCGCTGGTCAGCACTCAAAGAGAGGAGGGTACACATACCAAACACGCATACCCGCCGATCATGCAAACTACAGGAAGAAGTTTAATAATATCATTACATATGACGCCCTGAGTTTTTTACCCGGATTCGAACGTCACATGGGGCACACTTATTTACAAGGAAATAAGATTACAAAAGAATAAAAGTGGGAGCTTATGTCATATTTCAGCAATATACAATCTAAATCGAGGTGTTAGTTTTCCTAGAGGACCTTGCCAAGTCACGTGTTAAATAGAACAATTTTCTTTCTATGGGATAGTTTTGGTCTGCATACGATAGGCAATCACGCGCCGGCTTAGCAAATCAGCCTTATTTTGGGCTGCAGGCGTTATTGTGGAGAGGTCCATGAGCTTTTCGTCATCCAAAAAAATTCACGCGAATTCAGCGTTGTTTTGCAATAAAAATCTCTACCCCCTGAAGCAAGCATGTGCTGTTTAGCAGCTCCTTTAAGCACACAAAAACCGTTGGCTTACCCATTGAACTTCTGGATATTGTCTATCCACATTTTGAGAATGTTCTCGATTATTCGAGTTTGAGTCTCCGGCCACATGTGACCGCAGAGGATAGGCAGTACCGTTGCGGATGAAGTGATGATTGTTGCTATGACAACCTAGCGAGGGGGAAAAGAAATGACACACATGAATAATAAAGATTCAAAATATGATTTAGCTCTAAACTTACCAGAAGACACCTAATGCGGAGCTCGAGGATGGTAGATTTTTGTGTAAGACGAGTAATTGCCAGTTCAATGACCTCGGGAAGGAAACTATCCAACTGGCCACGAAAATTGAGAACAAAAACTTCTAACAGCTTTGCGGCGTGGACACCCTCATTGGCCTGTTCTTCTTCACTTTGAAGTGCCTGAAAATGACAAACCCGAATAAACAACTCGACAAATGTTAAAGTCCATGCATTAAAGTTAGAGAATACTGACCTGTGCGCACATTGATAAGAACATTTTCACACGATCAGGAGATGCAATAAAGCCCTTCGGATCAACAGTAATGTAATTGTGTAGGGAAGGTGCTATGGACACGAAGCAGTCGTTAGCATCGGTCGAAAAAGCCTGGTAGAGCCAATCGTACACAGTCCAGAGAAGCGGAGAGACATGTGTGCAAGTGATGGAACACACCAAAGAGAAGGCCTCATCGTAGAAATCGGAGATTTCATTTTTGAGTATAACTTGTACCAACTGCACTATCACGCTCTCTGAACTGGCCACCAGCTCCGCGTTGTCCTCCATAACCGAAACCAAGGTTTCAATATTTTCCATAACACCCGTGGCGACCAGAGATTGGTACTCCTTCGCCTCATCAAATTTGAATTCACCGTCCCTTTCACTGTCACCGGTGGATACTAATCCCACGCCATTCTCCTGTACTCCAACTAGTTTCACAAAAGTACCCGACTGAAAAATTGGGATAAAGAAGTACAGAGACGTAACACAATGAACTTAAGACGCAAGACATTCTTCCCATAAACTTACCAAATGCTGCAGCATTTGAACTGAAATAGGCTGGAGCTCATCAGAGTAGACTAATACCTCACGAAGAACAGAATTTAAATCGTCAAATTCTGTCTCACGAAGGAGCTTAAGCAACACTAATGAAGAGAAATTGAACGCAGTTAAGAGATGACAAAAATCACATTTAACTTTTAATAGAATGCATTACAACTCACGCATAACGAGTTCTGGAAGGTAACTATTCATTGCTTTCTCGACTAAAAGGCAAACAGAACCTAGAGAAACGCATCCAACAAAAATAGACTAAATTAAGAATAAACTTGGTCGACCTTCTTTCTGATCCTTAATTAGAGAGAAGATGGTGGTAGCTGCGGCAACCCTCACGGGTAGATTTGAGTCCGAACACATGAGATGACGACAGACCATGGCAATTTGGCATAAAATGTCCACATTACTGAACTGAACGCGCGACAACTTTCCCACCAACCAACAGGCTCTAGCTCTTCTATAGCCCTCCGGCGCTTCGAACAGGGAAAGAACGTGGGCGGCCAGGAAGTTTTCCAGTTGTTCCTACAGATGAGTAGCCAGAACGTAAGGGAGCATACCTTGTATACTCTGTCTTTGAGAAGGATGCTGCAAACCGTACCGATTAGATGCAACGCACCGTCCTTGATCTCGGGCTTAACGTCATTATTAAGCACCTCAGTACAGTATCGCATCGCCTTGTCTAAAATGCCCTTGCGTTTTAAACAAGCCTCCTTGATAAAGGAGGCAGCTGCATCAGAAGGACTATTTACTGACATGTACATAGAAGTATTATAACGGATGTACTCCAGGGGATCATCCTCCCACACTTCAGCAAGCTCCTTTGTGAAAGAGAGGAGAGGGACAATAACATCTCGCAAAAGGGTGTCAAAGTACGGCCGAAGAATTTTCCAACAGAATGCGTGGGTTAGCCTAGCAACAAATTGTAAGGGGTGTTAAAATAGAAACTTACGCAGCAGACAAGTAGGAGAGCGTTTCGGCTAGGACAACTGGAGAAATAAAAGTCTGCCGTCGATAGGCATCACAGATTTTGAGAAAGGTGGTGAGAACCTGATTTGAAAAGCGCTTCAGATACCAGTCCGCAAAAGAGGCATATTTCTTTTGAACATTACCGGGACTCCCATAAGAGGTAAACCAACAGTAGAGAATACGAGCGGCCCACTTTTGGCGTTTCCAGTACACGCTACCCGGATCTTCGTTAGCCTCGTTGAAGCTTTCGAGAAGGGAACAGATTAGGAGATGCCACTGGGTGACCCACTAGAAAATGTTAATCGCCATTAAGAACCCTCCTACCTCCTCATTGATCGAAGATGTTGGCAAATAATAGTCAGTATAACGATAGAATATCTTGAGAATGAGCTTTTGGAGAGTCAAAGACTCATCAGAGGTGTCGGAGAGTAAAACACTTATCCGATGGTGAAGGAGAGGAAGGAGGGTACACATAGCTTGGGGAAGTGGACCTTTATCATTGGTTTTGTGTTCGTAAGCCTGAACTAAGCCGTGTAAACAAAGGAGAGCTCCGTGAAATTCACGGAAATTTATGGAATTGAGGTGGCCAATAATTTGATCAACAAAATTGGGGAAGCGGGACGGAAAGTCGAATTTCAAAATCTTCGCTACGGCAACCTGAAGGATGGATCTTAACCAAGTTAAACATCATTCGAGTCCAACATACTGTATAGGAATGGTAGAGGAAGCTACAGCAGGCACAATAACATTCCGAATATTAGCCTTATCGTCCTCGTGGATTTGAAAAGGAATAGGTTCGTCAGGACTGAGCGGCCCCCTTTGCCTCCAAGACTTTAAAATCATATTTTTTAAGAATACAGCCCCAGCTTGGCGAACGGATAGATCAAGTGTTTGCTCCAGCACGATTTGAAGGAGCGTAGGCGCAAAACCAATAATTTTATGCATCTAGTTCTTATGTTTAGTAATGCAGAAACTACCTCAACCAGCAATTTCTCGGCGTCTTCCCTTTGTCCTGGTTGTAAAGACGCTTGTAAAGCTTGAACTATACGACGAGGATCCATTTCCACAATCCAAAATCACCAGGAATCAAACAACGTGATTTGGGTCACACCAAAAACGGCGGTGAAGTGTACGGATTGGGGAATTATAACAACACGTTTCCAAAATCACAAAGACACAAAGTTATTTTTAAATTTAAACACAAAAAGTCTTGCATGAAATCCAAAAGGCGTTTTTATACCTAAGGCAGAAAAATAATATTTTTCTTTTAAAAAATCGGAGATCTAACGCACTCAAGGAAAATAATGTGAAAGAAGATTGTAGGAGAGTATTCTAGAGTCTTGCACACTTTTTCTTACTAATATAACTGCTTACGCAAGCGCCTATGACTCCAAAAATTTGTCTTTCACTAAGACACACGAACTCTGGGCTGTGCCAATAATCCCAGTTCAAACGCGCTTCAGGAGATTTCCAACCATTACAACACGGGTTTTGGGACTCGCAATACTTTCAAAAGCAGCGTTAATCTGCATTTTCTAAGAATGGCATAGGCAGAGCGTAGTCCTGCACTGTAGCAACAGATCCATGAAGTACACCTATTACAAAATTGTGTAAGCTAAATGTAGCGCATCAGGACTTCCTTGAAGACTAAAGAAGACATAATACGTGGACAGAATACACATATTCGACATCAGGTCTTCTGGCATGGCCTGAAGGTCAGCTCATCCGGCTAGGTACAATAGCCAGATAAAGTGGCCCTTTACCAAAACTGATCGTTAAACAAACAACCGTAGTATGTATTCCCTTTCCATTTTGAGGGTTGTCTTTAGAACACTCCTTGGTCAACCTCTCTCGTCGGCCATCACAACGTATTCGATGCTGTAAGGAAGCTTCCACGATCCAGCCGGGTTAGTTATCATATTTCTATGCAAACAAGGTAATACTTAACCACAACGCCACTGATCTCTCTATTCAAATCAACTAGATATGGGGTTTTGCAGGTACGGGAAATAAGTTCATGAACAAGTAATTGTGCTGGCCCTTATGCGTGTCTATAGACATATGTAAAAATGCCGGAGTGAAAAGAGATTTGTGTAAGAAAAAACGGGATTTGGCACAGGTCCATGGGGGAAAAGTTGCCCGTCTACTCATCCTCGTCACTTTGTTCTCACTTCAAACCTACCCAGCTGTATCTCTCCGGGCTCTACCCAGATAATAGGGCAATGTAGGATGCAACGCGGGTTTACCTTATTGACAGCTTTATGCTGATATAGTAGGGAAACTGTAACGAAACTCCTAGATGGTTCATGGCTAGTGTCAATTTTAGTTGCTAATAGCTTTCTTAATAACACTGGACTGAGGTGGATACAGATGGTGAACACAAATCTCAGCCCTTCCCTTTGAGGTGATCATCGATTCCCCTACTCATAGCATATGCACTTCTGCCCCGCTTAGTTCATCTATCAGCAGCGAAAATCAGGATAGATGTTCTTTAAGACCGGATTTGCATCCCGCAAAAGTGTAGCGCGCCGAGACTTCCCAGAAGACGACAGAAGACATACAGTAATACGATGGTGGTTTACCCCTCGGTATTAGTGAGCGCCACTTTTTTACTTTTGAATTAGCCTTCTTGTACCTCGCTGGGTGACCTGGCCTTCGAGTCATGCCAGTAGCCCAGACACCTTCTCTGTGCTGCATATATATATTTTGCCCGAGCATTGTCTTCTTTAGTCTTCAGGGAAGTCTCGGGACGCTACAATAATACTCAGAGAGAATATACATATTTAGCCTACACAAAGTATTAGGGCTGCTGGTACGGCCCAAAGGGCAGCCCGCTCGGCCAGATACTATGGTCAAGCAAGGTGGCCCTTGACTAATACTAGACGTTATACAAACAACTGTACTGCATTAATAGCTGTAAAAATCACGTGTAATTATCGTTGTACAACAGCCTTGTAGTGTTGGCGTGTAGCTCTTATGATTTAAGAAGGGAGCATTCCTTGTTAATGAAACTTAATTAGAAGGCATAACTCATGAACCACCAGTGGGAATGGGGTGAGAAAATAACACTTGTATTTATGAGTCAAACTGTAGGGCATTTCCTCATTTGTCTCTTCCTAGCTAGTTTTCTACCACTTTGAATAAACAGATAGATACGATATTGGCTTTTTATTGGTCATTGTTAACAAGGATGAGTAAGGGTTTACGTGAGCCTTAGTTCTGAATTCTAGCCTGCCCTGGGGAAATTCACCAATTTTTACGTTACAGTAATGGACTCTAAAAACACCTGTAACTTCAAAACGCATTAGAACAAAATGCCTATTAGCAATATATGTAAAAACCAGCTTCTTTATATACCCCACATATAATTGTTCCAACTTTTGCTTGCCTAGACTCTTCCGTATTTGATGCTTACACATCTTTAAATTTTTTTAGTAATTTTTAGGGGTTGCAGTTAATACTTTTACAAATTTAATGTATTCCGTGTATTCTTTCGTTCACAGTTTGTTTGTCTGTATCTATAGCAGAAGTGAGGTCAACTGTCGAAAAGTGTTGGCGGTCTTATACCTGATATTTTCTAGGCTCGTTTTGCAATTTTTAGGGCTAATTACATTACCCCTTATTCTTTAAAAAGAGGTGCGCATTTTTCCGTTCTGTCACACAGCGTAGACGCGGCTGTACTCTAACATTTCTGGAGTTGGACTTATGAACCCTACTTAGTAAGTTTTGGATGATATGTGGCGTTTCCCTTTAAGGTCCAGTCGATTTGACACTTAAAATGTCTTTACCAAATTGCTTTGCTCCTACGTTTTGGTTTTTTGTTGAATGACACTCCTTTTTGTGCCCACAAACATGCAGAAGTGCTTGCACTTGTACTGCCTTATGTAAAACACCACTTCAATATTCCACGACTTCTTTTTGTGTTTTCTCCTTATTTCATTTCTAGTCTCTTATGACCCTTTTTAAAAACACTGTTTCGTATAAGCAAATCATCGTTTATTTTACAAATTGGATTCCTTATAACCCTGGGACTTATTTGTATTTTTGGCGTTTCCTGGCCTTCACACGCCTCATTTTTTGATTTCAGGCAACATAAGTCTTGCTTTTATGATTGATTGGGTGCCACGATGCTTTAACTTTCACATTTTACTCCACAGTCCCTCTATTGAGCCTCTGGTATCGCTCGAAACCCCGCCAGGGTCTCTTCCCAAACCAATCCAAGTCGTTCAGCCCATTCCAGCGGCTTGTCCCTCCCCCGTTCCTGGTCAACCCATCCACGACCAAACCGCCTGCCTTAACCCGCTTATCATGACTGCTCCCGTATCTTCCCCAATGGTAACTTACTTGGCTACTAGTAGCACCATCTCCATTCCACAGGCTTCCGACAGCCTTGTGAATAGTACATCTTCTGGCAAACCTCCTGGTCTCATACCCTCATCCCCCTACGTCTACCAGAGCATTCCTCTCGGTCAGCAAATTTTCCTTGCCAAGTAAGTTGGCCACTTGTCCAGCTTTCATTCGCCATTTAGCGGTCTAGGTTGCGAAATTGATCACATTAGTTCCGATTTTGGTGCTTTATTTTACACGGACCGTTTGGCTTTTAGGTTTTATTTACTAAGTATGGTTATTTAGTATATTGTTTTCCGAATATATTCATTTTTTATTTAATACGGTTAAAATCTCATGTCTTACCATTGTTACGAGACCACCGTCCACGGATTTCATTCGTTCACGGGTTTTTTTGCTACGGCTTTTAGCACTCCCCAAAACGGATTTGTTATCGCCCAGCCTCCGGGAACTTCCTACATGATCGCTCACCCCCAACCCCAGTTCCAAGTTCGAGCTCCCGCAGGCGGTCAGACGATTCCAATGGCTCTTGTCCTTGGCACTCAACCCGCCTCTGGTCTGATTCAATTACCCCATCATCCCACAACAGCTAACGTAATTTCTGCGGCTAATTCACCCATTGTTTGTGCGAATCCTGTTGTAGCAGTTCAGCCAAACCTTCAACAGTCTTGTCCTCAAGTATGTATGAACGGTCTTCTCGCATGATTTTTATGCTGTATGTATGCGTATCATTTTCTAACCATGTGTTAGCCATCCGTTCGCGAAACATCCAATGATGTGTTAGTAAGTTTTGCCAATTGAAGTGTTCTGGAGCTTCCACCAATCAACACTAACCTCATAAACAGCAACCAACCACCACTCGCTATATTACATCTATATTGTCGAAGCTCATTCCTCCTTGATTCGTCAAATGCTTCAGCCAATCTTCTTGTGCCTAACGAGGCTATCTTTGACATTTACCAAATACTTTTTCGCAAACATGCATAACTTGCGATCGGCTTTGTCTGCGTCGCAGTTTCGGTATCACTCGCCTGCCATGACACGGTTTACGTTCGGCTAGTGTTTATTTTTTTCATATTGACTCAATTTTTCACGGTAAGTCTCAATTTTTGATTGGGCACGAGTTCTCGTTTAGAACTCTAACTTTTAACATTTTTTGAAGTATTTGTATTCACTGTGGTTCATGTTGAACCTGGAGCCCGTGTTAATGGAAAGTTTTTGTGCATCCTAAATTGATGAGTCAGAAACCAAATTTTTTTACTGCTGCCACTTTTATTGTGAATATAGTAGTCCAATAGTTTCATTGGTTTACTTTCACAACCTTTTGTCAATTTCTAAAGCTTTTAAAATACGATAGACGTAAATTCTTGACAGCACTGAAGTATGAGACCTGTGGCCCGGAATCAGTAGAAATGTGTACGCAATCGTTTTATTACAGACCAGTCCATTGGGATTCCTTTAAAAGAGGCGTTTAAGCTTTACCCCTATCGTTATCATCCATTGGCTGCCCTGCGTGACCTCACTGTGTTCCGGGTTTGTCGCGTAACTTTTTTTTGCGTAAAATATGTGACTAGCGTTCTTTGTGTTCGTGTGTTAGCACACAAACATAAATCCATTGCCTTGAGTGTGTGTGATTTTCAATTCTCTTATGTGAGTCTGGCTCTTGTCAGGGCCTGCCCCCTTGCCCCAATTTTTCAAATTGTTAGTGGGTTCGATTCTGGTCAAACAGCACTGTGTACACCTCGGTATCTTTTCTTCCAACCAAAATCCCATATTTTTTGTTTGGATTAGCCAAATTTGATGGCCTGCCTGTTTTAAATGGGATTTGATAAGTAGCACAGCTTTTTCAAATCCAAAGTACATAGGATCCCTTCATAGCCTGATTAGAAGGCCATGGAAGGTGGTTGATAACTGCGGTGTCAATATCCTTGCAGATTCATTCGGGAGTTACAGTGACCCGTTTTCCCAATGGATGTCCCATTGCGCCAAATACCACTCCTACCTCTGTCGTCACTGCCAGCGTCCCGACGACAGCAACGGTGGCGCTGACAACTGCCGCTAGCATCACCTCCCCTGCGATAAATAGTGTTCCGGTCGTTGCTGCTTCCACTGCTGTCACCAGTTCTGCGCCCACGAGATCGGTCATAGCAACTCCCGAGTCGGTGCTGCTTGAGCTGAACAAGGAAATAAGCAACCTCGAGCAGTTAGCTACGACTTCAACCACTCCATTGACTCTACAGCAATCGAACCGCTTGCAACGCCTTCTCCAAGCTCGTGATCAGGTTCTGAGGACCATAGAGAATGCAAAATCTCGCTCTTCCGGAGGCAGTATTAGACCCTCCACCTCCCCTGCTGCCAATGTCACTCTCAGACCGCGCCCTCCTGGTGCTACGCCTGCCTCCATTCTCCCAGCTGTGGTGGGTCTTTCTATCACGTATCAGCTTGCATTTTTTGCGAGGGTTACCGTTTGTCCGCTTTGATTTTAATGATTCACTAGATTTTGATGGCTGTTCGTAAGTTTGATAAACTTTTTAGATGTGGCGCATGCTGGAATTTCATTACTTAATCGCTGTATGGTGGCGCTCAAGAGTGATTTAACTCGTGAAATTGAATAACAGCTTATTAAACGGGGTTTATGCCATTTTCCCATTGAACGGCTCGATGAAGAAGTGTTTGTGTGTGTGTGTTTAAGGCAATTCGCTATGGTGCTTCATCCTTTACGAAAAGTATACGGTTATAACTTTAGTAATAGGCTTTGTAGTTTTGCGGTCGCTTAGATTCTACAATTGGCCTCTGAGGCACGATTTTGCTTGATTGGGGTTATTGAAATGATACTATGGTTTCGATCTATGAGTTCCGTCAATTCCCACAACCCTCCCGGATATCAAATTTGGTGGATTTATTGATGTAATATATCATGCTTCATTTCTCTTTTTACTATGAGCTAAGAGATTGAGGCTGGCGGGGTGGAACTGTATGTGCAAAACCTTAATGTGCAATGTAGGTGGGTCGTAAATTCCCAGTACTCTTTATATGCTACAGAGGAATCAAAGTCCCATTACCCTCTCGCAAACAGTGGGAACTTCAAAAGTTCCCATAAGGCCGATTCCGGTAAGTGTCTATCCATCTGTCGCTTATCTGCGTCGCTGTTCTCCTCGATATCTGCTTGTGTGCCACATTTGCCAACTTTTTACCCTTTTCCCCTCTTCATGGGCTGCTGCTGTGCTTAAACGTTTGACAAAGGGAGCGTTGACTTTTGTATTCGTTCCTCAGAAAAACTAGGGGTTGGTGACGAAGCTTGGAAACGTCAAAATCACTCTACTGGGAAGGGGGAGAGAGGCCTCGATTGAAATTTACCAGTTCTTCATTCTCTCTATCATTTCCCCCAATTTATGTGTTTCCCTGACATAATCTCTTTCCCTGCTTGTGTGTGCATGTAAAATACGTGCTAAAGATCCACACTTTCCTCTCTCCCTTTACCTGTATCCCTGCCTCAGTACTCTCCAGCCAGGCAGGCACGGCGGAGTGTGTCACATAGTCTGGCCACACTTCGGGCATACGTCAATGCGTCCCGATCACCTTTGGTAAGTTCCCCCGTGTGCGTGTGTTAGCTCTTTCGCCTCTGTGTAGCGTGCGTTTCTTTTCTCCCCTGTTCTGACATTGCCTTTGCTTGCTGTGGCCGGCGGTGGTATCTTTCCTTTTTTGCGTTTTTTCAACGCAATTCCCCTCTTCCCTTTCCCATACATCCAACTAGGCCCCATTGAGTTCACCTTCTGCCATACAGCCAAGACTGTTGGGTCCGATTGCCTCGCGTCCTACCAGTTCTATGGTAAGCCTGCTTCCTCCATTCCAGTTTGATAGTTTTGAGACGTGTCTCGGAGATCATTTTTAATTCACACCTCTCCCACCCCCTCCGATTGGTTCACGCGTTTCTCCTAGACCATTGTACAGCCCAGACAGGTGAATCCCGATGGCCAAAGACTCCCTTCGGTAAGGCCGCTTTAACGTCCAGTTTGTGCCTTTTGGCCGCCACTTCTTTTTTTTTTATTTCCTGAACTTTTAGTGGGTGCGCCTGTAGCTTTTGTTGTTTTTTTTTTTGCGTTCGAGTTTTATGGTTGTGTTGTTTTGTCTTTGTTGAAATTAGCTAATATACCGTGCGAGTAAGTAATAAAAATTGCAGTTCTACGGAGACTGCTGATATGAATGCCCATATGGACATCACAGATTGGTCCGTGTTCCCTCTGGATCAAAACGGGGAGGCGCTTTTTCTTTACGATTTATTTAGCAGCGTCCCTACTCATCCGGTTTGAGTAGCTCATTACTCCGATGGCTTGCAGTTGCTGCCTTACGCCATCAAACACACAAACACCATATTGCATAGATTTGAACATATAATCAGAGCGATTTGTGTGAATGTATATTACTCTCCCCTTTTAGCGTTCGGAAGTGATTGGACTTTTGGTGAAGCATCGTCTCCTTCCCGTGAACATTGCGATGGCTGCCGGGGAAAGTGTATTGGTGGAATTCCGTCTCACCTCTCAACGCTACCAGTTATGGTTAACACGAGCGCAGAAAGTGGATCTGGAACAACTACTCTACACCCTCCCTACCAATCAACGCAAGGCGGAGGTGCTCGTAGTGTACCAGCAGGAACAGGCTCGCTTCTTCGCTGCCCATCCCCGACCCGCGCCTCCTGTGGCAACACAACTCCGATTGCTCCGTCCGCCGCCTCCACCATCCCAACCTCAACCCACACCACAACAACCCTCGGCCTCCCAGCAGACGGTTCAATCACCCAGGCAACCACTTTCTACTGGCACAATGTGTGTTCTCGCTCCCGTCTCTGCTAGCGCTGCTAGCACTCCTTCCGGTAAGTTATCCACGTGTTCTCCACTCTGCCGGACGCAGTGCCTGCTAACTGCAGTACTTTTTTCCTTCTCTTAGATCCATCCAAATCGAGTTTACCCCTGAAGGTGCCTCTATTTGGCGCGTCATCAGCTCTCGCCCGAGCCCCTGGGATGGTCTCTGCCGCCCCAACTTCCTCTGTCACAGCTGTCACTAGCACTGCCCCTGCCAACGTACCGCCAGTCAACCAGCTGTCCGTGCTCCAGTCGCGTCGCCTCAATGCTGTCCGAACCCTTCTCCACGCCGATCAGATCGCGGCAATATCTCGACCACCGGTTCTGGTGGCATATGAGGAGCGACCACTGCCCTCACCGGAAGAACTTCTAAATCTCTTAGCACCCTATCATGTCCAACAAGATATGGATAACACTCCTGAGGCCATAAGTAAAGGTTTGCTTTTTCATCCTTGCTGGGGAAGAGTTGGTCTTGGTAATTCCGAATTCCTTTTTAATGCGCAAATGTTTTTCATTGTTCGGCTGTTTCAGTGGATGATATACTTGATAAGGCATTTCATCAACTGTTCACGAGGAAGCGGCAAACTGAAGACGCTGTCCATTCCATACTGTGTGCAGAAAAATGGGTATGTTCACTTCTTATCGACTTCTATTTGTCATGAATTGAATTTGTGGTTGTATAAATCTTTTAAATTTGTTTTTTGGTGTTAAAATCGTGGTCTAGGATAGTTTAATTTTTAGTTACGTTTATTTAAGCGTATCCCGAACTTGTTTTGTTTTGACTTGGGCTGTCCGAACTTTTTAGCAACTAATGGACTGCCCTCAAGCTGACCGTTTACCGCTCCTCCGACTAGCGTTAGAAAGTGATCGTGAGCGTTTTGCGGCTGAACGGACCGCATTTGAGAAGTTGAAGGCCCGTTTGGACGCCGAGGAATGTCATCCGCTGCCGTCCAAACGGATACGTCAATTCCTCGAAGAGGCAGCTTCCGATTTTGTCCCTTTAGAGTTTGATGGAAAGGGCAACTCCCGACCAGCCATTCTTCAGCTGGAGGAGCAACAGTCGAAACCGAAAGTGGAGGAAGTGGGGCCCTTATTTGAACAGTCTCCCAGGGCTTCGGTGAAGTGCACTGCCTCTGTGGAAGAGGGCGCTTGGCCCGAATGGGAAGAGGAGGAGGAAGAAGTGGTGATAGCAGAAGAGGCGGAGGATTTTCAACCGCCCAATTCTCCCGGCATGGACATTGCAAGTGTCGTTGTAGAGGAGGAGGATGAGGTGGTGGTAAACAGTTACGGTGGCCATGAACCGAGGTCTCCTCTGAACGGCCTTTCCGTGGTAAGGCGCCTTCTTTGCTAATTTCATTCCTGATTGAAAAGCTTTCACCCTTAAGTCCCACCTATCATGCTTTAGTGCCAGTTTCCACCCTCCGCCTCGGTGCCGGAGATGTCGAAATCTCGAGTCGAAACAGACGACGGGGTGACCTACCAACGGTTGCAGCACTCAGAAGATCCCACAATTGATGCTGCAATTCGGAGCATAATCGATCTGTAGAGATTTCATTTCTCGTTCGTGTAAATACGACTGGTATACATACATAGATATGCACTTACACAATGCAATATTCACTCCTTTTGTTTCTCACTGTATCTTCAGATGCTGTGCATACTTGTAATTTTTTGTATTATGCGGTTTTCGCCTTCCCTTCCACCCTCCTCCATCTCTCTTGTACGATAGCCGTAATAATGCAATAAAGGTTTTGGGTGCTTGCTGCTACCCCGCACCAGTTAAGGCTCACTGTCTTATGCTTTCTGAGGTAGTCTGCGTGAGTCCCAGTTCTTTGAGTTCTTCCCCCGAATTTGTGTGTGTGTTATCAAAGTAAACGTCTGGCATCTGTACGGATGCAGACCCTTTGTATCCATTTTCATTCCATATTGTTTTTTATGGCTTCTGAAACGCGATCTGTCGACATTCATTGGTGTGGTTGTAGCCGATAGTCTTTGATCCATTTAGATTGACGATGATGTTGAGACCATTGTAATATGATCTGCTGCTGACTATTATATTATTACATAGCTCATGGTGAGATTGAATTGAATCAAGTGGATGAATTGTTTTCCATTTCTGGTAATTTTTTTGATATGCCTGCTCCATTTGGGATTTCACACGATAAAAGAGCAGTGTCAAATTGTTTGGTTCGAGAGCTTCACCGATTTCCCTTCTAAGTACCATGGAAATTGGTAATCCTATGGGTTCATGTCACAGTTTTGTACCAACCACTAGCGCTTGAACAAAGCTTCAGCGTTCTGAATTCGTCCTCATGTGGTCTGAACCGTTGTAACTACGGTTTAGTTTGCGGAGGCTTTAAACAATATTCGACCGCCGCTCAAACGCAGATTAATAAACTTGAAGCAACTTAGGCGGGAGGTTTTAATAAAATTCCTCGAAATAATCGTGGAGTGATGAGTTTTGCAGGAAAATAAGTATGTTGAGCTAGTTTTTGTGTGCCTTTTAAAAACGATTCTACCCCAGGTTCAAACCTAAAATGGTTCGTAGGGTGGCTACCACAAATAAATAGGATAAGGTGATATGCTTCTTATTCTTCTGAGGATTCGCTGGACTCGGCTGAGAGGTGGTTAGAAGCCGAAACAACAGCGCGCAAATCTACAAAGGGTTGGCAGGATTTCACCAAACGGGCTCACGACTTTGTGGAAAAACTTGGACTCGAATCCCCCATTGCTTGTGTCACGTCGGGTGGAACGACGGCTCCGCTGGAGCTGAACACCGTCCGCTTTATTGACAATTTTAGGTAGGTCTTGCTGAGTTTGCATTTCTAGACCCAGTTCGTTTTCTCATTCATATCCTTTAATAACCAATTCTTAAAAACCCTGAGGTAACTTATTAAATATCCATCAACCTTATGATGAGAACAAAATAACATTAAGTATTGAGATGCAATTCAGTGTAGTGTTGACGTCACCACTGGATAATCCTCAGTTTTTTAAATCCTAAGCGTAAATTATTGCCTTGTATCAGTCCTGGAAACGGTCTCCTTATGAGTATTTTTTTATTCGGATCTGATCTTAATCTACGACTGATAATTGTGCGGATTTCCACATTGAGTTGATTCCCAATAGTTGGCCCTCCTTTGCTTCGGTTTGGGCACAGCCACTCGTGGCAAATGCAGTTGCGAAGGCTTATGCTCGAACCCAGTCAGAGAAAAATGTACTTACTCTTACCTTGGGATGTTTGCTAACTCTATAAACAATTTAACTTCGAGTTATCTCCGTAGAAGGTCCAACAGACTAATGGCATAAGTGGTTTCACAATGCCAGTGTGGCTGCTGAATTGCTGGGTCCTGAAAAGGCCTGTGTGCTAAAGTATGCAATTCTATTGCGACACCGTCATTGGCTTTGGCAAACGTAACTTCCTGTAAATACTTCGGGAACTCATCCAAAAATGCTGCTCTCGGCCCCAAGTATTGCCTCGATAGGGAATCCAAAGAGACCGTTTAGTCTTTTCGTGGGATTTGTAACCATATTGGCCACATCGTTCTGAATAGGGATAGGAGACTAATTAGCTATATTGGCAGCCCTTTCAACCACACTCAAAACAATAGCGTGGGTCGCATGATCGCCAAATATTACCGACCTGCAATCCTGGGAAGGTGACTTCAGTAGGACTGGAGTGAAGTCATGCCGTTCCCTGTGTTTGCATTCTGATGTTGCTCGAAGGTTTTCGAATCAAGAGTAACCAAGGAATGCTTGATAGCGGGTTATAACATGGGACATTTCATTTTTCTATTTCTATTATTTTGCATTTTAGCAAATTTAAAAGGTTGATTCAGATCAAACCGGGACTTTTTAGTTTAATAAGGAAGTCCAACGAGTCCTGGCTCAGTTTCCTACTCCTTTTATGCACTCTTTTCAGCGTTGATTACTACCTGAAAAGCAGCTTTAGCATGGAAAGATGAGTCAGTATGGCGGTGTGCTTCACTTCATCAATCTCGGCATTCAGTGGGCAGTAGTTTTTTGAAATTGTAAATGTTTGTGAAATGACTTTAGCGTCCCCTGCAGTACCGTACCGTGCCGTAAAGCACAGCACATATGGGAACCCTACTTCTAGGTAGGTGATCGACACGCAAGCTGTAGCGAAACTGTACAGAATACGAATCTTCCTGTGGGAAAGGGTGTGGGAAAGGGGAACAAAGGTGGAATCATCGCTTACAAATGTAGGGCTCGGTCCAAAACGTTTACACTATTCGAGTAGGCATCCCGTGATGTGCGTGAAGTCATCTATCGATACGATTACTGGAGGATTTTGCGTTTTCATTCATTGCCAGACATCCCTACCGTTGTCACCCATCATCCCAATTGGTGGTATACGGACTGGCCCACAATATGCGCCACTACAGTAGCAGCCCGTTTTAAATCCTTCATATTGGAAGTCCTCATGTGACTTTAGCATCTGATGTAAATTTTGCTTTTTTTATAACTGCAAATTTGTGCGTAATACCCTCATATCATTACACTTCCGATGGTGCTTGTTGATTTGTTGCAGGAGCTTTCTCGAAAAACCCCGCATTGAGCACAATATGTGATCGTTAAGGGAAACATTTTTTAACAGATTTTTGGAACTCTTATTTAAAATACAATAAAACTGGCATCATCGAAGTAGAATGAGATCTTGGAAGGGGTGAATCACGTTGACTTTGAAGTAAAATTTGGGGTAACATTTCACATTCATTACCACCGTCACAAGCGCGCGGTGTGTACTCTCTGTCTGTACACGATAATTCTTGGCACCAAATCGCGTAGCTGAGATTGGCTGAGCCTAAAACAAGAAATTTTTGCGTGGAGTGCTCTTGTTGCGGCATGAACCACTTCCTGAATTGATTAGCATGTTAGCTACCATCGTCACGAATGTGTGACACCCCGTTTTTTAGTAATCCCGCACCTCACACATATGTGACACACTTAAAAGCAGTAAATTGGATTGGAAAAGCAAAAAAGTGAAGTTTTGTTACATTAGAACAATAAGACATTTACTTTGTGCTGGTCAATTTTCTTCTCAGCTTCCGGTAGTGTAAATATTCGGGACATTTTAAATCTCTCAAAATTCGGCTCTTAGATCTCCAAAGTATCAGCTTAAAACTCCTTGATTCGGGTAAGCTTATGTTTTGCAATCCATATCACTTCTTGTGGCCTTACCACGAAGACGATTTGCGATTCTGCTTTGAATCCTATTCTCAAAATATTGCTGAATTGGAAACGCTTGAGGTACGCATAAGATCCTATTTATATCTGGTGTATGATAGCACTGAGGCATCATTGTAGTTCAGATATACTCATTTCCTGGATTTGAGTGGTTCATAATTAAGCATTGTTAGGGTTTTCTTTTTGTCAATCCTGTTAATGATGGGAATCTCTTGTACAAAAGTTGATATCTACTAGTAATTTTGGGTTATTTGGATCTCTGTTAAAAAAGAACTCCATGCATAAAGGCGACCAAATAAGCAGCTTAAATTGTAAAGCAAATCTCTGTAGTGTCGCTTCACTCGTAAATACTATAATAATATAGTGAGGCTGTTGAATTAGTGCAACTATCTCGTGCCTCCAGATCCCGTGGTACTTACCCCGTTTATTACCGAGATGTCGGAGGAGACTCGACCACCGCGGTGTGGGCGGTTCATTCTTCTAGTATCAAACTAATTGCCTTTATTTTATCTGTCGATCTCCCAAGCCAAATCAGCAAATGGATTACCCACGTGTGGTGCCGGCAGCCAACTCGTTAATGGCTGTTGGGGGCAGTTTCATTGCTTCTGTTTCCAGTTTTTTCTTGCCGTAGTACGGGCTCCCGAGGTGCAGTGAGTGCAGAGTACTTCTTGAAGTTGGGCTATGCGGTCATCTTCCTACATCGACGTTACTCCCTGACTCCCTTCACAAATCGCTGTTGTCCTCCTGGGGGCTGGGCCTCAACTCTTGATGCTTGGTTTGACTTTAACAACACTTCCACACTTCCTCATTCCACACCTAAACTTAACCCCGTATTCGCTCAGAGCATCTGTGATGTTATCCAAAGCTACGACAAATTCCGTGAGTTCGTTCTGCTAATGAGTAGTGTTTTTAGCACCAGTTTTGCTGCCTAAACCTGTACATTATTCTTTTAGGGGACCGTCTACTACTCCTTGACTTTCTAACGGTTGAAGATTACCTCGTAAAGCTTCGTTGGCTTTGTTGTTTGCTCAATCGGAGTGATTTGTGTCGTCAGGGTACACTGCTTTTCCTCGCTGCAGCCGTCTCTGACTTCTTCATTTCACACGATCATCTGCCGCGACACAAATTGCACGCCAGTCTAGCTCTCAAAGGGGGTGACAATGACAACATCCAATGCGACGCTGATGGCTCTCTGACAATACATCTCTCACCGGTTCCTAAGGTCCTTGGTCTCATCTCAACTAAGTGGGCCACTTCTACGATGGTGATCTCCTTCAAGGTGTGTTGACCACTAAAATCTGCTGAATTGCTGGACTTATTATCCAGTCATTTGGCATCGAGAGATGTTACTGTTAGATGCGTTTTGAAAGTGAGAGATGAAGCAATAGGTTTACACCAAAATCAACGGGGGGGGGGGAAGTTGTGGTGACAGCTGAGCAAACGGGTCCTATACGTCACACCTCCACAGATGACGATTGGGTTCGTAGATTTGCATTTCTTTCCTCACTTCATTCACCTATTATAAAAGTGTGCCGCTGGGAAAGGATGGTTTACTGAAAGATATGTGATGCTAAGTGGATTTTGTGTGAGAGCATTAAGCCGACCAACATGCCAACTCATGACCCTTCCCACGCTTCTAAGGCACACACCACTTAATTCCCTCAATATTTTTCCGCGTTTGCGGTGGACTGCAGATTTTTACTTGCTGAAGATCAAACAGCGGTTACGACTGACAGCTCCCTACTCGATGCACTACACAGCTGGAAGGTGTAGAATGAAAAATTTTGAGGAAATAGTCAGGCCTCTTGAATCAGTCCGATGAAAGCTCAATTCTCAACATTCATATCATCACAAGGCTTGCCCCATTCCCCGCTTTCAAACGGAAGTGAAATATTACCTCATCCTTCATATTTCCCTGACATCAGCACTAGACGATTCCATGATTGAATGCAAAACTGATTGGAAATTTGGACGAAAAGTAGAGGATAGAAACGGAGGTGATTAAGGTTTTCTGATTCGGCGCATTTTTATAGCGTAGGCGAAAGTGATAGTGATAATCTGTAAATATAGGAAGATTATGATTCATAAGTCCCAAATGTTCGAGGTCATGGACAACATTAAACTGATGTACGTGGTATGATTAGGCGAATTGTTTTTTTAACCCTCCAGCTGGAGACGGACGCCTCCCTTGTTCTGGACCGAGCTAAAGCAGCCCTAAAGCGATATCAAACACACGCGGTGATAGCGAACCTCCTGCAGACACGCAAACAAGAGGCCTGGCTCATTCACAAGCTGGATGAAGGTGGCGGTGATGGTGTTCTGGACTTATCCTCCGAGCACCTTACTGTGACACCATCGTCTTCTGAGGAGCTCGAAGAAGTCCTCACCCGTCGCGTCGCTCATCTCCATACCACTTTCCTGGCGTTTCAAAAAGGAACTACTTGTTAGTTGCGTTTTGGGTACATACATGCACGCGCTCGCGCTCCATCTGTGTATTTATGATTACTTTGCTTACCAATCAATTGTTACCTTTAATTCCTCTTTCGATTTGTTCCTCCTGCAACTCGAATGAAGAGTGGAGTAGTCCTTGATGTAGCTCCAAAGTCTGCTGACGTTTACTTCATGGGAGTACTAGATATGGATTTAAAATCGTAAGCAACTCGTATACCCGATTTACCTAACTATCTTCAATACAGAAAGGGCAAAGGCTACAGGAGGAGAGGCTATTGCATTGCGATGCGTAGTTTTAGATAAAGAGCGTCAAGTCAAATCGAGCTAAAGCGCCAACTATGCGGGACTGGATGCTAAATTGGCCCTTTTCGTAATGTTCCAGAATCTGAAATTTAGGAATACAAGCGTAACAATGAACTCAAATGTTGCCGCAGGAAGGGATTTAGGTAAACTTGCAGAGAGCCACAAAAAAGGGCTGTTGAAAACATGACGGCCTTTGGCAACTGGACAAGGCGCAGCAATGAAGCGAGACTAAGGCTAAAGGAATCACAATCGCTAATAAGGCCACAGTTATCCGTCACCACGATTAGAAGACTCTATGCCTCTGGTGTTGCAAGAAGCTGGGAAAGGTGCGGATGTCAACTAAGTGAAAACAGGAAATAAAGGACGTGATCATAGGAAATTTTTACTCAAGGTTTCTAGGACTTCTCGGTAGAGTATTGTTCAGCCTTTTCCATAATTTGTACACTAGCATGTTTGGTGGTGGTTTCAAAACGAAGTCGCGGCAGTTTTGAATGGAAAAATAAGTGGAACCGTCAGAAAAAGAAACGACAGGGGCTCAAACTTTGTACCGTTTCTGTGGGTGTCATTCAGCAAACCAGGTGGTGCCCATGCTTACCTCAATTTAACAACTTCACTAACTAGTAACGACATAAATAAGTTTACCCACTTCACAAACAGCATCAGACTGTTGGACCGCCCTCGATTTCAGCAACGAGCACCGCAACAGTGGGAGACTGCTGCCTAGGTGGGACTCCCCGAAGGTGATAATGAGAGAGGTAAGCCAACCTGATGGATTTATTTACGGTTTTATCCACGTTCGCGTTATGAGAAATACAAGACCCATTAGAGCAAGGAGAGAAACCCAAACTGTGGTAGTGCTGGGTCAAACGGCGTAGTCCATTTCCATTAAAAACGAAAACAAATTTTTATGCAAAAAAACTGCAATTCGAGTCCACCCTTCTTTTAGGCAATAGCGGAAGTCCTGACGATAACCCATGAAAACGTGTCAAATATGGAGTAGGGCTCGTTCAATTGCAATGATGGAGCATGGAAAAAAGAGAAACGGGAGCGTAAAAATGTCTGTATATTTTATTTCAATACGTTTGTATAGCAATGCAAAAACATGCAAAGGAGGAGACGGTGCCTCTATTTGAGACGTCATCTACGACGTTGCATTGGTTCCTGCGAAAAAGGGGGATTATTCACTGGACAAGGAGAATTTACAGACTCAGAAAAAAAAATTGTTGAGAACTCACGCTTAAACATTTCCCGAGCACGTTCGATACTTGCGCGAAAATGGGTAAGATCCTGTTCAGTCTACAAGGGGAATGATTTCAATCATCAAAGGTTGGACATGTGACACCCCGATTTTCCTACGGGCTGCACCAAACCCTATCGTCTGGGGATACATGAATTCAGTTTTAAAAGGTTATAATAACATTCTACAAAGAATAACCCAAACTATTGTCATTACAGAACAACACCAGTTATGTAAGGGCCGAATTTCCTCGAGGAACTTCAGTAATCTTGAGTTGATTAAAGACAATAAGTAAGGGAAAGAATCCTTACGAAAATTTTAATGGGATTATTAACAGCACCATAACTTATACACCTGTTGGCGCATCAATTCAGTGGGCCAAATGAATAAAATGGCCAAAAAACACCCAATTTTAACTGAGGGCGGTCAAAGGGCCACCTACCTTGAACCTCAGTCCTAAAGTCATGACTTCGCCGTCGGGATTCTCAGAGTAGTCCTTGGCCACCCAACAAACGCCATAGTTGGCAACAATGAGCGGTTTGAACTGGGGCATGTCCAGAGAAATGGTCTGATTGGTGCAGATCTTTAGAACATGGTCACGACGCATCAGAAGACGGGCGTGGTTGATGCCACCTTTGAGGTCCTTGTCAGTGGGCAGTTCGGTACGCGGATCGAGAAAATGGGCGGGAGGCAGGTTTTTCGGATGGACGAGAACCTTCATATCCCCGATTCCACGCTCTTTCCACTGGTTGTCAAGGCGTCGGTAGAGCTTACATCGCCTTAGAAACAAGCACACCTCCTCCTCTTCGCCTGTCTTTGTCTACTCATTCGAAAATCAATCTCTTAAAAGGGATTAAATGCGGTATATTAAAAAACGAGTAGAGTAACAGACCTCCACAAGATTCGGTAAGGGAATAATGGGTTCGAATTGAGGATCGGGGTCACTTTCGTTGTCGTCGTCATTATCGTCTTTGTCATCGCCTTTTGCAGAGAAAAGAGTGGATCCTGCACCAGCCCAGGGTGAAGGTGATGAAGAAGACCCAGGGGCAGTCAACCACGAGGGTTTCGCCGAGGCATCCTTGCTGAGAGCTTCAAAACCTCCACATCTACCACCGCTGCCGAACAAGGTACCAGAAAAGCCCTTAAATCCATCACTTTTAAACGGTTTGCCTAAAATCGGAGAATAGGAGGGAATAAGTAGAGGTTTTTCGATAATAGCCGTCAGGCGCTCTGAAACTTTACCAGTTGCAACAGGCGTAGTCTTCTCAGAAACCCCACTAGTTCCGGGTTTGGCAGCTTGACAGGCAGGACAGACAGTCTTCTCGGGATCCACCAACAAGGAGCAAGATTCACACGTCCACGAGCCTGGTTTCCCGCGAAGCGACTGCAAAGCGCTGGTAGTAGCACTGAAGGTAGGAGGAGGAGAGGTGGGCGGAGTAGTAATGACGAGTGACTCGGTACTTTTGACGACCACAAGGGAGGATGAGGTGGATGAGGTGCCCCGATTGATAGCGGCTTCCAACAGTGCATCCTCTTCAGCCTCCTCAGCAGGTGTCAAATCTTCCCGCTGCGAATGGCGGCTACTGCTTCCCGGCTTCTTCAGCTCGTAGGCGTAGAAATCGTCTGGTAGTTGTAGGGCCCGCGCGCGCGCCACTTGCTCAATTGATAGCTATTTTTGAAGAAAAGGAGGTAAAGAGTACTTACTTTAAAGACAACACAATCGTTTCTACACAAGGCTTCAGGTACTACACGGCACAGTAAGTTAAAGGCTAATGTCGTTATTCACTATGGACACCATCAGGATGGTAAACAGTGATAGCATGTGGATGACAGGGTAAGATGAATAGTGCAAACCCTTTAAAGACGGTGACAATCTCGGCCGTTGCGGTGTCGTTTTCACCCCGCAGCACAGTAGTAAATCCCATTAACATAGAGCAAGCGTATGAAACCTCTTATAAAAGCATAATTAACCTTTTGTTTGACAAACCCTTCTGTGAGAACGACGAGTGCAATTATTTAAAGAGATATCTCAAACTGGAAAACTTATGCTCCATATCAGAAAAGCGCTCCTCATCAATGAAGGTGTAGCCTGCTCAAGAATATTCAAATATCATTGACAAAACTGCCGAAAAAGGTACATTCCACTCCTTAAAATGTGATCTTTGCTTCCATGATCACAAAGTTCCAGCATGCCTAACTCATCTCGCAATAGTATTAGAGCAAAGGGCAAAAAAGCCAAACGGGAGAACGATGGAACTTTGACTGGAAATGGTTGTAAGTCAATCATTTACGCGAACAACTCACGAGAAACGATCCGAATTGAAGTTATCAAAAAACGCCCTTAGAAAAAGTCTTCATGGAATGTGATGTAAAAAATGATATTACCACTGAGACCCCTCCGTGAACCATTAAAAAGCTACAATAGTGAAATGTCTTTAGCTACTTAAGTCCAAGAGAAATTGTTGTATAAGTGAGCCAAGCAAATATTCACACAAAAATTATCTGGTCAAGTACGAAGAGCCAACAATTTACAAGAAAATGGAGACAGCGTCTTACCGGATTCTCCACAATCACTAATTCATCTCCTTCAACCTCTAGATCGGCGGGAGCTTCAGCACCCGAGGCTGCAGCAGCAGCTTTCACAAAGGCATCATGAAAGGCCTGTGATTCTTCTAACGTCTTAAATCGCACCGAGAACATCTCCTTCCTGCCCTCAGGCCCAACCTCGTCATCGGAGAAGTCGACAGCCCACCAAACCCAAGGGACCACGAGCGCCTTGCTGCCTTCCATTGGTTTCAGGGTCATGCCAGAGGTAATGGAGTGGTTACAGCACACCTTGTGTACCTGATCCCTTCGCATCACAATGCGTACTCGCCCGGAGGCTGGGGACCGAAGCAACTTAAGTTGTCCCAGACCCCGTTCCTTCCAGACGGTAGTGTCGAAACGGAAAAGCTTTGCACGGGCCTCGAAGATCACCTCTTCGTCCTCCTCCCCAGTGTGCACCTCAACCTTATCCGGTAAATGTTCCACCACAGGTTTAAAGCTGATCTGGGAGAGGTCACTAGGAGTGACGTCATCCTCTTCGTTGTTATCAAAATATGTAGTTATATCCTTCCCTTCTTCTGCCTTTTTGGCTTCATCAATATTCTTACTCTTCACCGGTGTTGGAGGCTTCATTTTGAAGGTGAAAACAGTGCTAGGCTTTTCTAAATTCTTAGCCAAATCGAGATTTGCAAACGCGCCGCTAGCGGACCCCACAGTTTTGTTCTCTGAGGTGTTGAGGGTGGAAAAAGAGAACAACTTGTCCGTCTCGGCTGTTGGAGCAGGCGCGTTACCGAAAATGAATTTTGGGAGAGGGGTAGGAATAAGCTGATTGCTAGAAGCACCGCCACCACCACCGAAAACGAAACTCGTCGATACAGCTGGCGGCGACGTCGAAGCGGGTGTTGAAAAGAATTTGAAGGTGGGTAGTGCCGATGTAGAAGTGTGTTGAGTGGGTTTTGCGCCGGGTTTGGGTGCCTGACAGGCAGGACACTTTTCGGGCTCTTGAGCAACACTAAGAGCACACGTGGCACAAGCCCAAGAGCCCGCCTTTGGCCTGAGTTTCTCCAAACAGCTGGTAATGAGGGCCGGCTTAGGTTTCTCCTTCTCATTGGGATCCTTTTCAGTTACATTTTTAGGTGCCACTGTAGAGGCCTTTTCGAGACAGGATTTCACAATCTTCTCAAATTCATCGGTGATCTCCTCAGTCTTGAAATGAGCCATGAAGAGCTCATCTGCACCATTGGGGATGGGCTTGTCAATATCCATGACTGCAAAGTCTCGCGCTTTCCACATGCATGCCTCAGCTCTTTGTGAATGACGCTTTATGTTGATTCCAGGAAGGATGTAGTGGTTGGCGCATAACTTCATTATCTATTCAAAACAAGAAAAAATGGATGATAGTGAAATTTGCAAAAGTTGTAGAGTTCTTCATCCTCTAACGTGAGAAAATCTTACCTGCTCCCGTCGCATCACAATGCGAAACTTGACGGCTGCATCATCAGCCAGAACCTTGAGCTCACCAATGCCCCGAGCTTTCCATTCCCCATTAGAGGACGAATCCGACTTATCCCAACGGAAGAGACGAGCACGGTGGCAAAAGAGCACACGCTCACCCTCCTCTCCAGTGATCGGTTGCACCAATTCCGGTAACCTCTCTACACAGGGTGTAAATTCCACCTTGGGCTCAAATGCCTCCGGCTTATCCTCGTCATCTTCTACCTCTGTCTCCGCCTCCTCTGCCTTCTTCGAGACATCGGGACTACCGGGGGATGGCGAAGTGACAGAAGGTTTGTGACCAAAGGGGAGAGTGCCAAAGAGAGCCGACGTGCCAGCAGTGTCTGGACTTCCAAACTTGCTGAAACTGAACAGTGACGAAGTCTCCGTTTTGAAGCCATCAGTGGCAGTGGTTGCGGCAGGTTTAAACGCAAATGGGAACGGTTTTGGTGCAGGTGATGACGCGGCTTCCGCCGGTGGAGTGTCCTTGAAATGATGTGACAAAATGTTGACAAAATAGCAGATAAATTTCGACAAAGAAGGAAATGCGATCAGTATTTACCTGCTTTGAATCAGGGGACGGTGTAATTTTCGGTAGCCCCGTAGCTGTGGCACCAGCAGAAGCGGCAGGCAAAGTTGGTGGTGGTTTCACAGGTTGTACCGGTGCGGTTGTAATGGTTGCTGACGAATCTACTTTTGGTGAGTCAACAGAAGAGGCTGACGTTGAAGTAAAGGTAGCAGACGTGCTTATACCAGCAGGGAAGAGACAGGTTGCTACGGACGGAACGCGGAAGTCCACAGGTACCGCTGAAATGGCAAAGGGGTGAAAAATTGAACTCACTTTGTGATATATATAGCATCACCACTACCACTAAATAGTGATTGTAATATAGTTTTTACACCAAAAATTTACTATGGTTGTCACGACGTTAGGTTTTTTAAAAATGGGGCTTTTGAAAAAGCTGACTGTAAACTCTGCTTCCATTGAGGCACAACCGTAATCGAACGGAGCTTAACGTCTGCGCTCTGCCTTTCACAATCCACTCACAAATGACGTAACATGTACAAAGTGGAGATTGAGCAAAGCTGCGTTTTATTACAATCTAAACTGCCATTCGTCTTGAGTTGATCATTAATCATGTACCCTGAAAGTGAATCTGACTTTGCTGGATGGAAGTATTTGTTGTGGGTCGGTGAAATTGTGAAGAGTTGAGTAGGCACAAGCTTTCAGTAAACTCTAGACTTGGGCTCTGCACAATGACCACTAACGAAGCGAAATCGCGTTTCAATGAATCAAAATCCACCTTAAAGGAATGTCTAATATGTTACCAGGAACGCAAATCTCTGAATCATGGCGTAAAAACGCGGTACCCTTCTCATCAGTCTGCTTCTGGACAAATATGACTGAAAAGTGATTGGTGAATAGGACATACTCGCTACAGAGCATTGTCCAATTATCATAAGCTCAAATAAAATCCCCAATAGTTAGCTTTTCGGAGGATCTGATTTAAAGAATCGCGCTCAGGCCTTCAGCATCACCCCTACAATGAGAATTTATCCTACCATCACCGTTCCGGTCCCACAAATAGTCACAATTTATGAAGACTTATGATAACCTCAACAGACGAATGATCACGGGGAGCGAATGACGAACAAACAAAAGTTATGTAGCAAAGGAATACTTTTAAGGAGCGTTTGAATGCACAAAGCCTTCAGTTTTCATAGGTTTTAATGCCATTTTCGCAGTATGGTCTACCACCCCTTTCTGCATGTTAATAGCCCGTACTAATACAAGCTACTAATGTTCAAAACTCTGCTTACTACAGGAAAAGAAATACCAACCTGGAGGCGGCACTGTGGGCGGAGGATAAGAAGGAGGTGGAAGTAAAAAGCACGATCCCCCCGTTGTTCGTGGCATCTGCTGTTGTTGCTGCTGCTGCTGAAAGGCGGCAAGTTGAGAAAGCGCTAACTGGGCCTTCTGTTGGTTCTCCAACGTGAAAATGTCACCGGGTCGAAGCATGGCGGATGGTTGGGCTGGTGGTGGTGGTGGTGGTATATGCGCCGGATGAGGGAAGGGAGGAGGAGGCGGAGCAAAAGAAGGCATAGCAAGGGGCAGCCAATGGCAAAAGTCGCGCAGGACAGAGGCCACCTCGCGTAGAGACTCCTGCAACGCCCGCCAATCCTCCAAAGAGGGCACGGGCTGAGCAGGTGGAGAAGGCTGCCGGACGGGAGTTGAATTGCGCTGCTGTTGCTTTTGCTGTTCTGCGATAACTGTGTCTAGTTGATTCCGCGTTTCCTTTAACAAACGTGACAACTCCTTGTTTTGCAAACGACTCTTCGCCAACTCTGCGGACGTCTCCGACATTACGCGTGAGAACTCCATAAATGAGGGCATCCACTGTTCCACCACTTGCGTCATTAATTTCGTCTACGAAAAAAGGGACGGTAAAAATCTCTTATTTTCACAATCGTGTATTTGTTTCTACAAGCGACCTCGAGGATAAAGGGAGCCCGAGGGCTCAAAATTCATCCTCACGAAACATCAACCAACCAGAAAGCAAGCGTGAATCGCTAATTCCCGACATGGGAAAATTCGAGGACGAAGAGGAATTTACAACATCTAGAAATACAAATGTCAAAATTTTGAAGTGAAACCCCTTTCTACCAAACCCAGAATGCAAACCTACCTGCAAGTCGGAAGCTAAAGAGTTGGGAGCTGCAGTAGCACTCATGGCAGCAGGAGAACTAGTAACCCCGGGCGACCGATAAGGACCGAATATCGAAGTTCGACCTCCATTAGCATAGGCTCCATAACCAGATGACATGATTTGCGTTTGCGCTGGATCAGTTGACTGGACTTCACTCGATTGAGCTAGTTGTGGCGCAATGGGCAGCGTCACAGGGGACGAGAGTAAAGAACAAGATAGATGAGAATGGGAGTAAAAACAGTCCAGGAGCTCGAGGAAAAAGATCGAAGGCAGAAAAAAACCGTTTATTCAATGAAAGACAGAATTCGCGTACGATGAGACAGCGTGTTTAAAGGGAAAGCGCTGCGAATGAAAAAATTATGCAAAATATAGCTCTATATACCACTTAACTCGGATATTCGGCAGGCCTCAATTCAAACTGTGATACTACCAAGCCCGCATTTGAATTCATATCCGTAATAGAAAGACTAAAACCACCTCAGACTGATCACACAGCTGCCCCAAAAACCTAATCCGTAGGGAGAAAGTATCTACCCAAGAGAAAGCCGAAACACAACCGAAATTAAAGCGCGAGTAGAAAATCTACAAAAAAGGGAAACGAGGCCGGAAGCACAGCGAGCGGACGAGAAGAGCTGCTCACCAGAAGCGTTCGGCAATTCCAAAGCCTTCTGTAATGACGTGATAGCATCAGAAAGATTCCTTGTCGGCCTGGCCTACGGACACAAAGATATGCACAGGATGCAGAAGCTAAATTTAAACTTCCTCCCCTTCAATCTTTCACACGCATACCGTGGATTCGTCAGTAAATGGGGTTCTTTGTACGGCTCTAAGCGTAGTGTTCAGAAGACTCAGTGCAAGATTCCCCAAAGGTTTTATAAGAGGCGAGGTTTTGCTCAATCTCACCGCATTTTCGACCAGTTTCGCGGCCAGAAGTATGCACTCCACGTCAGTAGGAAGACCATGATCTCTCAGATATTGCAGATGGCTTATCAATGTCTCCAACTTGGGCGGTGGGTGTTCCAGCCAGTATGAGGCAAGCCAACGCCAACCGAGGAAGAACCACGCCTGATCCTTTGAAGTCATAGTAGTGAGATTATCCACATGAGTGCCGTGCCACCAATCGCAGTTTAGTTCTGCTGGAAAAAGGATACCCTCATCGGAGTACCTTTCTCGTACGCTTTAAATGGAGAGTCAAATTTTAAACACCGTACTTAAAGGACGAATTATAAGACTCAAAGAAAAAAGTACCTTGGGGCAGGAGAACCAAACCGAGCGAATTCAGAATTCTGCATCAAGGCGCTGAGACCAGCTTCCCATGCCCGAGCCGCTCTTGCCAAGGCAAAATCAGTAGCAGAGGCCTCCAAAGGTAAGCGGGTGATGGCCTGAGCCACACGAAGAATTAAACGAGCTGGCATAGTCTGTGTTGGCCTTACGAAACGTAGCTGATCAATAAAGTGCTTCAGAGGGGATTCGTCATCACTGCAAGGGAAAACACCACTAAATGATAAAGAAACGCCAACCCAACTCACGAGACAAAGACTTACGCTGACTTATTTTTCGCACATGCACACAAGCCATTCCAACATCGACGCTGCATAGAACTTGGTAGCAAACGAGTGTTTAAGAGGCAGAGTGGTTGGGGTGGCCAAGACAATGATGTCGCTTGAGCATGACCCCTTGAGGTCTCCGAGGATGTATGTCGAATCAAATAAGAAATGGATAAAGCCACTAAAAACACTACTGCATCGAGCTGGCAGACTTTACAGTTCTCTGCAGACGGGGGTGTACTTGAAAAAACTTCCCTAACCGCTTGAAAGCGGAAAAAAGTAGTTATCAGAACACGAAAATAACCAAAGCTGATAGAAGTTGGAACAAACTCACAATCAACGATAATTTTGAGACGAGCTGCCGGAAGAGCCAAATCAGTGTCTGATGTGGTGTCTGCCTTTACCGGACGCAGAACGTACCAGAGAATAGTACTTAGATCACCCGGTCTGTATTCCAGCAGTTTTAAGTAAAGCTCCTCTGCGTTGTATAAACAAGCAGCTCCACCCTTAACACGCTCCTCTAACCCAAAAAGAAATTCAAATTTATGCTGTTCGTTCTTGGATAGGCTGTCTTGGCTCAGGGCCTCAAGCAAGGTCACATTCCAACGAGCCTGACTGTGGCTAGACTTTTTAGCCAGCAGTGCTGACTGCAGCCTTAGTGATAGTCCGTCACCGTATAAGTGCTTCCATACTGATTTTGAGAGGATTGAATCACTAGAAGGAGCATTTGTCTTGAGAGCAGCTGCGCGTTGAAGACATGACTCAATGAGAAAGTGTATATTCGCATCGACCTTTTTCTATAAATGCGATCGAAGCATACAATCATTGCAAAGTATATTAAAACCACCTTTTTAGCGAGCCTCTGAAAATATATAGAAAGATAGAAAAAGAGACGCAACTGAATTTCAGTGGCAAATTCATTGTCACAGGAATGCGGTGAACGCAGTAATTTCACAATGTATTCATCAAGTCGGGCCAAAGTGGATAGGAAGTCGGATAAACAAGCCGTGTGTGCAGCAAGCCGAAGAACTTCGACCAGGGCGAAACCCCGGAGCGTATCAATATGCTTGCACCAAGGGTACGTATTACATGAGTCGGGCACATGCTTAAGGGAGCTGGGTAACAAATACGATAAAGTACCGAAACGAAGTCCAGCACGGCATTATACCACGCAGTTCTATCGATACACACAAAATCATTAATAGTTCTGACACATAAATCGAAAGCCTCATCATATTCCCCACGTGATAATAAGGTTTTCAAAAGTGAAACACGTTGTCCCAAAGATATCAACGGCTACAGGAATCATAACCATTAGAACACCTACATCTCCAATATTTTCAGCACTTTTATAAAAAGTTCGGAAAAACGGTAAGCAAGGGGGTGAGATTTTTCTTAAATCTTGATATTTCTAAAGAAATAATATAGTTGTTATAAGTTTACTTTGTATCTTTCCATTGGAAGATGGGATTTTGAAGCCAGATCACGAACTATTAAAAAAAATCATGGAAAACTAGGAACATGCAATACTTTTTAAATTCAATTGTGTATTTGAGGGGTCCAACTCATAGGCCTTATGATAGGCTTCAACGGCTCCAGGAGCATCACACTGGGCCTCTAGGATTTGACCAAGGAGCAGGAATCCTGGCAAATAATCTCTTCTTATGGAAAGAAAGTCACCAAGATACCTAAAAGTAAAAAAGATGAGTAAGCCTACTTCCGAGCGCTTTTGTAGTCACGAACGCCAAGGTAAAGCTTGGCGAAATGGTATCCATAGGATTTTTCCTAGACGGAGTTAAGGTAACTTATATAACTACTTCTCGTGCAACTGAAACGTCAGACAGGATAGTATGAACGTATTTATCAACTTGAGCCCGTGTGGAGAACATCGAGCCACCACATCAAAAACGCTATACAAACGACTATAGCATACTTCGACCAATCAAAACCTAACACTGCAGCCACCAGTCAAATTAAAGTCCCAAAAGGGCCTGGAACCTAGATAATGAAAATGAACAGACCACTGATAATGAATCTTTAAACATTTTTTGACGAAGCTTTTCGCATTGCTTTTGGTGACAGAAATCAAATTTTACGCTTCTCTAAACTGTCTATATGCTATTGGAAGTGCTAAATCACATTTTCAGTGCTTTCATGAGCACCTGGTTTAGTTGATTTTCGCATAAACTGTAATGTGACCATTTTTTTATTTTTAATTAGTAATTTTTTGGAACGAAATTGTTGAAGTCGTTTTAACCTTAAATTATTGCACCTGCTTTTGCACCGAACAATTGGATTTATCTATCAGCATATTACGTATTTTTCGCACTATAGAACATTAGCACGTTTTTTCTGCTAATTATATAATGTTGGATTAGTGCATGCTTTTTTAGCATTTGTTGTTCAGTCTAATCAGCTGTTTCCCAAGGCTATCCTGCGCGATAGTATACGCGAAGTGAAGTGGTGGGCTTCTCTCCTTTTACTCCTCCCTAACAGACATATCTATAAAAGCAAACCTTCTTTTCTAATGACTTGGAGAGGAAGCTTAGTGTGCGTATGTAACGATAATACGCATTGTTTTCAGAACAAAACCCTGAATTCTATGTTCAATCTGCCAATGGAAATAAGATTTTGCATTGCGCCGTTCCGTGGATTTTGCTATGCCTCTCCCGATAAAACGCATGAATTGCCGCTGTATTTACAGGATTCTTACTGGTCTGCTCCAAAAGTGGATACATATTCAGCAAGTCTTGAGGGTTTTAGTCAAGATGTTTCCTTTAAATACGGTTGTCTACACTTTTCTCCATTTTTGTTTTTTATGTGCAGTGGGCACCCTCTTGATCGTGGCACAAATACCTTGCTCTCATGTTGCAATAAAAATGACACCTGCAATTATTATTTGAGATTCCGAAGTCCGTACACCAAGACATTTGATAGTATCACTGGTAATGAAAAGGTGCATAAACAAAACCGTGATTTGGGAAAATCCAGTTTTGAGCACATGTCTTTAGAAGCAATGCCTTTCATGTCTGACACTCCATTGGGACCTGAACTTTTAATGAAATCACATTCGTTACTGGAATCAGACAAACACCTTACAGGGCCCCGTGAACAAGGCATTACTTCACCAGGTCTGATTTCAGTCAAAAGACTGCCCCCTTATATCCCCATGATTATTTTGGCTGGAGTGATTTTCCTGTTGGTAATTATCCGGTTTGTGTCCTTTTTACTGTTTTCAAATTATTTCCACCAAAAACGAAAGGAAAGTGAACGATGCTCCTGGGTGTACTGCATTACCTCGCCCAAGCCAAAGTTGGTTTTAAACAGCTCTTCCGTCGCATCAACAAATTCAACAAATTTGCAAGAAAGTCAGTCGTTGTTCTCTTCTCAATTCATTCAAAACAAAACCTTTTATGGGAAAATGGTGGTTCACAAGTTAGAATTTTTGACTTCGTTCTCACGTGATCGGAATTCCGAAATCCTATCAGGTTTGTTTGCTGTTTGTATAGAAATGGTTCTATTTAAGTACTAGAGACGCAAAAATTTGGTTGGGGTTTAGTAGTTAGTATTTAAATAAGACCAGTAGAGTTAATTATTCCATTTTTTGCCTCTTGTATCTGCTTAGTTGATTACGATCAACTTTAATAAAGGTATCGTAGTTATTAGACAATTCCATTGCTTGGATTTCATCTCTTCATCTAGGTATTTGTTGTATGTGAATTTCAGCATGCAAGTATTCCATTAGTGATAAGTATGATTTCCTTCAGTGCCAAATTAAGAAGTACTTTTGGTAGTTATATGTGAGTGAATTAGAGGTCAAAAATGGCCTAACTCTTCCCCTTTGTGTTTTTATCAATCTAAACTATTGCACGCAATAAATACCTCTTCCAATTATTAGTTTCATAATAACATGTTAATTGTGGCCATTTTAGTGACAGTTTACTAGTTATCTAGGCTTTTTATGAAAGGCATCTATTTTTGCGAATACTCCATGTCAGTAATATGCGTAGCTTCAATGCTGAACTGGATTTTTTGTAGTAATGGCACCTGAATAGTAGTAGCTTTGTTATCCACCCCGTGTTGATCCATTCATTGTGCCGAGAGAGCTGACAAAATGGGTATTTTTTTGGAGAGGGGGGAGGCAAAGGATCATCGTAATTAAGTTGCTCTTTTAATATAGCTATTATGCGTCTAAAATAGATGTTTTTTCCAACTGCGGACCTTTTTGTGTTTACAAATCTCATAAAAGACATGGGTTTTAATGAATCGGGTAGGCAGTTAATGCTTTCTGTCATAAGTAAATGTCAGTGAGGCAGTTATTTTCTTACGATTTTCGATTTTGACTTTTACCCTTGATATCATTCTGATGTTCTGGCAGCTTGTTAAAGAATTAGTCTTTTTGATGTAAGCTATTGGAGAGTCTGAATGTATTTGGAAAGAACATTTTTTCCCGATTTACCACGTCAAACAAGCTTTTGTGCAAAAGAAATTTCATGAAATGGGGGATAATTTTATTTTTTTTCTCGTTTTCCTGGAGAGGTTAGTATACTCACACTACTTATGGCTTTATCTTCTTTAATCGTCCATTCTAAAAATTTAAATTTATAAGTAAAATTTGTGATCATTTTATTCATCGGCCGCCAAATGGCGGAGAAGTACCTCGAAGACATCTGCTTTCTTTTTGTCTTAAATATGCACAATCTCAACATCATGATTGTTGTTTCTTTATGGAGCGTGAAGAATAGTTCGGTTATCAATAGTTTATTATTTGAAGACAATTCCAAGAATGAGCTATTACTGTAGCGTCCTGAGGCTTCTTTGAAGAGTAAAGACTGAATACTTGGGCACAATATGCATTGTCGACGTGCAGTGGGACTTGGGGCTACTGCCATTGCCCGGAAGCCAGGTCACTCGACGGAGGCCCCAAGTACTCGCTACTAAAACGGAGAATTAAACACGCAATTAACGCATTATATCTACCTTTATTAATTCTTTTTTTTTCCATTTTTTTTTATTCATGGGTCTCAATATTACCCTTGACTTTGCTAACTTTGGTATATTATTAAGTACGTTGGTTTTTGTTGACAGCGTCTGCCTATTTTCGTTCTGCTCCGATTTCTCACTAAATATATTCCCTCGTTTTATTTTTACTAGTTTGGTGGTTAATATTATATTTGAACGCCTTCCTCTCGCAGCCAAGTACGAGGATGAGGTAGTGAGTGTACGCCTCCTGCATCCCGCTAGCCCATCGAGGTCGCTGATGTTGTGGAAACGTCTTACTTGCCTGCACGAAAAGTGTGTTCTTCGGCACTCCTCTCTGAGTGGCATTAATGCGGCTGACGTATGTCTGCTAGCGGACCTCCGATGCCGTGCGATGCCGCATTCAACGTCTGAGCCCACTGCTACCAGTGCCCTTTGCGCCTTCACTATCAGTGAATTTTACCCTTGGGGCTCACTCTTCAATTTTATGCAGCAGAACTCGCCAACAGACTCCCAATACACCTCTTCAGCTCTCACCTTCGCTCTATGCGCTCTCATCGATGTCGTAAACGGAATAACCTTTCTTCACAGCGGTAAGTGGTTCCTCCAACTCTAGGTTATTTGTAATGTATTTTTCACAATTTTGTGGTGTTTTCTTCATTGGCCTGATTGGTATATCCAAAGGTTGAACTCTCGTAAACTTTACATTTTCTTTCATGGGAATGATTAATGGACTGCGGTCATAACTTTAAGCATTATTCTCTCTTGAGTTGCTTCCGCTCCCCGATTTGGAGTGTACAATTATCTATTCCTTGAATGCGTCTAAAATCTTACGAGCACACATTTGTCGTGATAATTTATCACCATCCAACTGACAGTGAGTTATCTCGACAAAATACTGAGCCTCCCCATGGGGGCACATTCGTAGTGGCAGTGGTGATGACATGGCTAAGAGAAGGGAGGGAATTGGGTGGAGTCCCAGCCTCTGGCAGATTGCGGTCCGCTCACGACTTCAAAAACAATTTGTTCACAGGCTGGAGAGGAGGCGGTGGACGATGCCGCGCCGCGGTTTGCGTCTTGATTTCATCTCCGTTATAAAAGATAGACAGGGAGTAGATAGAAAAGATGATCACTTGTATGGAAAATAAAAGCAGCCCCCTATCTGTTTCTAGGGTGCTTTATGTTTGCATGTATGATTTAGTGGTGATCAATTAGCATGCACCGTCGTCATGACGACGAGGCAGACGCTTGCGATAAATTTCATGGCCATGACGGAAGACAACAAATGCTTGTGTGTGTAAACGTACAGACTCATGCAGTGCGATGCATCTGCGGCATTTTTCTCCAACCTCGTCCCGTTATCTAACCTGTGCCTGGTCACCTATGTCTAATGCCAAAATAGCCAGTGGCTACAAGAGAGAATGTTTAATGGTGGATAGCCGTTAATACTAGCTTCTCTCAGTCAAATGGCCATCTAGGATGGGCGGCTAAATGACTTAAGTTTTCTCAAACGGTTGCAATGGAGTAAGCCTGCTTTCTTGTTTTTTTTGTCGGTCCCTCCTTCATTTCCAATGAATTTTTCTTAAAGGTATTTTCATTCAGCTAGATTATGTGTATTCCAAGTAGAGACCAAGCTCACCTTTATTCTATATAAACGGGACTTTCTGCATGCGCTATGCTGTCGTTAGTAATCCAGGTAACCTAAGAAGATGACATGAGTCTTGTCACTCTTTAGTAGAAAACTAAGAGCACACGACATATGAAGAGTTACATATCTTACCAACCTAGTTACCACTGAAGGCGTTATGAGCACACTAGTTTGAAGGACGATTTATTATAAAGGTGCAGAGGGGTTAGTAGGAAACATTAATGTATGCGACATAGGTGGGATTCAATGTCATTGGTATGAAGATCGAGTCGCTAATGACTGAGAGTCTTCGTGAGGTTATATATAAAATCCAGTAGTGTTCTGCTGCTCGAGGTGTTAAAATCAAACCTTTAAATAAACGGAACCGCTTTTTCTGCCCAATTCTTCTGTCTACATTCATACTAACGTTTCACTTATTCAATCAATGCCTCGGCATCAAAACCGTTCAGTTGATTTGCCAGTACGACTGATCAATCCTAGGACACCCTACTTCACTTCACCCATCTCGGCATCCGGTGTGTGCCAACTTCCTCAATTTCACATATTCCTCAGTGATTGTGTTCACTGCTGCCACAGGCAGATCCATATCTTGCACCGTTTTGTCACAGCACAAGTTAACTGTGTGTTAGTCAACACCAACGGACTGCCTGAGTGTTCGCGACACTGAATGAGTGTCGAGATTGGGAACTGCAACTGAAACCGCCACGGTCAGAATGGTCGCTGGCGTCCAGACGTGCATCTGCCCATAAAGTATTCGCGTTTGAAGCATTCCAATGGCCACTGCTGTGTCGCACTACAGCTCCATACTGTGGTGGGAGTCTTTTGCATGAGCAGGTATCCTCAGGCTCGGTCTTCACATTTTTGTGTACAGCAACAAGAAACTTCAACATCGCCACGCGTTGTTCCATACGAACACGCACTGCCGCTGTTTTTTGCTACTCATCTTTATTTTTGATGTATGGAATGGACTGGTGCAGCATTTGAGCTCTGTCTCAATGTAATGAGTCGCAGTTTCCGCCCACTGCCCCGTGTAGAACCGCCACGTTAAAATGGAGAGCTTCAATTTGATCTAAATGCTTCTTGAGCAACACATGTAATACGCAACTCAAGTAGATACAAAATTCCTCAATAAAATGAGCTAACGCAACCTAACGCCTTTACAGACATGGCAGGTACAAGGGGACGACCGGCCCTGGCTCACCGTAATATCTGTCTGGAGAACCTCCACCTTAAGGTCGACGGGGGCATTTGCATAGGTGGTCTGGAATACGCCATTTGTGCTCCACCCTCTCCCCTACCCCTCCCCGCAGAACAACTGATGCAGATCTTTAATGCTCACCTCCGCGACTGGTCGGCGGCTCAACTCCCAATTTACTCTGATTTTCATTGCTCGAATGTCCTCTCTGATGGTGATCATCGCGCCCCCATTGCTTCTGTGCCACTTTATCCTGATTGGTGGCCTGTCTGCGGACTTCAAGTTGGTCTCCCGACTTATATGGCACCGGAAGTATGTGATCAAGACAGATATGCTGCCCCTTTGGATAGATGGAGTAGCCCTGAGTTATTTGATGTGAAATGTCAAAGTTGAAATCTGATATTGTGTTAGTTATTCTTGGTTTTTGCCAGTACTTTGAAGATGGATCTTCCCTACCTTATGTGCATGCTCACTTGTGATTTTTTTCCTCCGATTTGTTGCCCTAGGCTCCCGAGTAAGTGAAAACAGGTCAGAAAATCATCTTAAGTAATTTCCACTGAAAATCTTTTGGTAATTTTATCACAATAAGCCAAAAAATTGTCTTCACGCGAGTGCATCTATGATGAACTACGTGCGGGTGAGTAGCAAAGTAAGCTAAAGAAATTGGGTAGGATTTCCTCTCACTGACTGTGCCCCTTAGGCAGCAGCTCAAAAGAGTGTAGGTCCGGAAGTAGCTGCACTATCAGATCCAGGTGAATACCAGCTTATGTGGCATGCGTAGGACCCAATGCCTTCATCATGCAGCCCAAATTGTGAGAGACTTATCAGGTCTGCCCACTTGCATACATTCATAGTCCACTGCCTAGATCCCACAGGAGAGTAGACCACCACAGCTTAGACGTTTTACTGGTTCTAGTCTAACGTCAATATTGCCATTGCTGTTTTCCCTATCCAAATGCTGCTCAAATTTTTTTGCTAAAGTGTTTATTTATTCTCAGACCTCGAGTCTCCTATATCTGCTTTATTGTTTAGAACTTAATCTGTTTGAGGGCGTATAAAGAATGCATGTGACACATTTGTGATGTTGGGTTCAGCTGAGGGAATTGGTGTATTGCCTATATCTGACGCTGGCAGTGAACGCTTAAATCGACATAAGTAGCACTCTGCTACATTGTCGATCTTTTTAAATTCACACGTCTTGAGACCATCTATTGGGCCTAATTTCTGCAAATTTTTAGGTGTGAAGATATTTTCATGCTTTACTTGGTATTTTTTGGTAATTAACCTTATAATATGCCAATGAGCGCTTTTATTTTTACCAAATCTTTGGGCATAAAACGTCCAATTTACCACTTCCTCATTTTTTTGTCACTTGTTCATACCATTGAAGTGATTTGAGCTGTAATTATCCCCAGTGCGCTCTTTTTTCAGCGACTCCCTTGTACAATCAGTAATAAATAAGAAATTGCGTTCTCGTTTGAATGTGAATTCGGTCTGAACGCAGACAGCGGAAGAGTCGGGACGGAATTTTTAAAATACATTTGACCATTTATTGAATTTATGCCATGCTTTATCCAGGGCATGAGACTTCCTGTTCTAGCAGACTACTTTATCTTGAAAGTAAGTACCCCATGTTTGAGATCTGGAGCGTGACCAGAGTATACAATTGTGAGGCAAATGATTTGCAACCTACAAGGATAATTTTTTCAGGCTCAATTGTCTTTACAATTGCTATAATGCAATGCGAACTTATCGTTATGTTGTTACTTGGGCCAGATTGCAATGGATTTTGCCAACTATTTATAAACTTTTGGAACAAAAAAACGGATTGTCAAAACACCGGAAATTACAAAAAGATAATGGTACCCTCTCCGTGTTTGCCTTCATAATATCCAATTACCTTGGCTCAACACTTAAAACATTTGGGATAAACCACCTGAGTGGAGAGACTGGACAACTGAACTAGTTCTTTTGTGGGAATTAGGTAAGAAAATAACAAAATACAAGCCATCTTACTGACACGACCAAAAAAATGAGAACGCATCACTGCATTGCTACTTGGAAAACACCTCACTATATTCCTTTCAACAATTATAACATTCCAAAACAATAATTGAATTAGGAAATTGGACGACGAAATTACCAAATGTCTACTTGCTAATCTAGGAAATCCAGCACTCACCCATCCATTAACTTCTGCCTTTTCCGGTGTGCTTTCTTTAGATTATGGAAGAGACCCTTTTTCCCTTCTGCTTTGAGTCGCACAAGCGCGCAGATGTCTATGCCCTCGGCATCATGATTTGGGAGATTGCTACGTGGGCTTTGGGGCAAAGTGTCGGCCATTTTTGGGTAAGTGGCCAGACCAACAAACTATCTCACTTCTTCGCATTCTATCCCCAGCTTCCCTTTCCAGGTCCCCCGAGATGCTGACATACCCACGGCGAGGGAGATGGTTTGCCTCAAAGGTCAGCGACCTCGCCTGCCCATTTTATCAGGTAGGTTAAAATATGGTGAATAATTTCTTAGTTAATTATTCCCTTATTCCACTTATCTACGCCGGATTCCTGAATAATGAAAAGGGGCTTACATTCTCCGTTGTTGCAACAAAAGCTCCAGTTTCAACCCTCACCTTAAATTTGCACGGATTAATTATTAAGCGGGAAACTGTGGTTCACGTCGGTGGGGGTTGTAAAAATAGGACACTTCTTCCAGCAAAAAAGTTGTTTACATATGATAGTTTGACACAGTATCAAAAAATGCGTCTAGATTAGGGATTAGATGGAAGACGGAAGAGACACACCTGTCCCTACCTGTCCCTCAATTGTTCTAGCTTTTTTCTCCAGTCGTTTAAAAGTAGGCATGTCTTATAGAGTGTACGCGTCTATTCTGGCCGAAGCGTCTTTGAATGTTACATGTTTCTCTGAGCGGAATAATCAGCCTCACATTAGAAGCGACTAGCGTTTAAGAACAAAACGGATTCCAAGTCGTAGAAACGATGTCCCAATTTTCTTTTTCCTCCTGTCGAGAGTAGGCAATATAATGTAGCACGAAAAAATGTGCAAAGGCGACTACTCAATCCAACGCCCATTTATCTCGATAATGACGCATCGAGAAATGTGCATTCACGATAGAGGGAATCCATTCGTCTTAAGGATGCAAAATGAGCACACTTAGGGGCATCAGACCGTTCAAGGCCGACTTTGCTAGGCTCAGATGTTAGGTAAGTTGAAGTGGTATTGAACAGATTGAATTGGACGTGAAAATAATGTTAATTATTGGAAGTTGGAGCCGTAATTATACCATACTAGCCTGACGCAACCGGTGGAGAACACGTCACATCCAGTTGCTGTCGAGTCAAGGCCCAGATCAGGCATTTTAAAGGTTAAATGCAAGCGATGCTGTTGTTGAAAGTGTTAACCAGTAGGTTCAGAAAGTCCATCGCTTCATTTTCAAAGCCCGTTTTGCAGGAAATTGTACGCACACACACACAGGCAAACAGCAAAGCAATTTTTCAGCGCTCCGCCCCCCCTCCCTGCCAATCGGCTAGCCAACCAATGAACTACGCGTATGCGTGTGTACGCGGTGCGACGGTCTCCGCTCGCATCTGTTTTTGGTCGTGTGTATGTGCGGACTTGCACACCCCCCCTCCCTCCACCACACCTTGCCATTATCCGCAAACGGGACCAACGATGCAACGGCATCACGCCAACAGCATCGGCGTTATCGTCACCCGTGTGCGCAGATATGTCATTCGACCGCGGCGGTGTGCTGTGTGCCTTGCCTTTTGATCAGTAAAAAGGCACCGCGTACCGATCCCCTAGAACACAGAGGACACGGTTTAAATCGGGACTCGGATAATTTTATCTCCCTCAAAGGCACTGGCAAAACCACGGCAACCTTGCCCCATACCTACTGTAAAATATATGCTTTGCTACAGAAGATTGTCATTTATGGACGGAAAGGCAAAAGTGAGGACGTGTTTGCTTGCTTGTATGCTATAGGCGGTCTTTTGCAAGAGTGGGTTTGATGTTATTGCGAATCAAACATTGGGCTCTGCGCAAAGAGCGTGTAGCCAAGATTTGGAACTTCCGCCGTCTAATGCTCGAGTTCTCAAGTTGGCTGCTTGAATCGCGAGCTCCCTGGGAGGGTCAAAACTATGTCCCTTTTCCATTTATTGGTTTATATGCCTAATCTAGTGGTGACAACAATGATGATGATGGGGCTGAAGAGAGGTGGGAGATGGCCCAGGGTCGGTGGATATGCTTGCCACACAAAGGCGATGTATAGCGTTGCTCCGTTCTCACATGAAGGCAATTGGGCTCGAAGTGATTGGCATGGTGGAATCAACTACCACGGTCCAAATGGTTTGCCGTTTGAGCACAATATGACCTCAAATGTTTTGTTCTGTTTTCTCCTATCCAGCCCAAAGCATCGCCTAATTATACCCCAGATATGTGTGCCGTCCGGGGTAAGGGTTGTGTGACCCTAGCAATGCAAATCCTACTGATCATTTAGGCTCGAGTAATCGGATCAGGTATTAGTATTGTTCTTTATCGTAATCTTCCCAGTTCTTCTTACCTTTGTCAGGCCGAATGCCAGTCCAATTCAGTCTACGGCAAGAAATCCCTTAAGATTTCGTACTCCTTTGGTGACATACGACACGGTCTTCGTGTGCCCTATTCACTATTCCGTTCCATTTGGAATGTAGAAGAAGTACTCTACTAACATCTCCATTAACGAGTTATTTTACTACTTCAGAAGGGATTCAAATCGAACCCAGAAAGTGGTTTGTGAGATAGACGTGAAAATCGGAAGAAGTGTAAGCTGCATCTCATATTCAACAATTATTATATTATTTACAAAATACTCGGAAAGTTCCCTCACGACTTGACTTGTCAGCACGGCCAAATTCACTCTGAAGCAGATTGCTTCACACTTCGACATCGGCGCTGAATTCCGGACCTCTGAAGCGAAAGAGTTCTTATTCACTTGGGGTCAGGATAGGCCATATTCCTTGGCATAACTAATATCACACCCATGTAGAGCTGTAAGCAGTAGGAGTTCGTGCTTGGAGTCTTCTGTTGATATCCACGGATTTTACCACTGATGCCGATCATCCCGATGAACAGCGCATGGTTTGGACTGACCCACGATGTCGACATGTGCGTCGACTAATGCAACAGCGCCCAGTGGCCACTAACTGCTTCGTGTAGTGCCACCATGCTACCATCTCTTTCTAGAACTGTAAAAGTCACAAGTTGAATTAAATATAAGTTGCATAAGGATATAAAAGGCTCATTTTGAAGACTCTGTGATGTCGGACAGGGAAGCAGACGGTTTCAAATGCAAATGCATAGTGTACAACCAAGGCGTGGATAATACATCTTCAATGGATTGCGATAAAAAGTTGTTTGACGTCTGTAATTTGTGTGTCAGAAGTGAGATTTGTTTTCATTATTTGAAAAAGTGTTTTTTACTTTATCTTTTCATTAATTGCCCGCAGAGGGACAGCATTAGTAACGATGGTAACAGGAGAAAGGTTAGCTTGGTAGTCACTTGCTCTCTCACTTATCGACATTCAAATATCCCATTCATCTGTTTATTCTCCTTATCATTTGCTTCATTGTTTTTAATACTACAGAAGAAATCAATTCCCTGAATCCTCATCAGCTCACCGAGGCAACAGAATGGATGCGTGTTTCCGACTTCTTCAGGAACCTCCTGCCAGAATGCTGGAATCGCGACCCCGAGACGCGGCTAAGTGCTCTACGCATTAAAAAAGATCTGACAAAACTGCAGATGGCGCAGAAGGGGTCGGAAATTTTGCTGTTTCGATAAAATACACCCCCTTTTCCTCTGAAATTTAATTCATGTCTTTCTTTTTCATCGCTTGCTCAACCAAGGAATTTTAAGAATTCTAGTTTGGCACTAGTAATAAACTTTAGTTTCCGTATAATAAGTATTGCCAAATTAGAGTGTCGGAGGGGCGTTTTAAAATCCCTATGTGGTAAAATGTAAAGCATTCGACTAGTGTACATCAAACCGAGACTGCCGTGGAGCTGCCGTGCACATAATTAAGCACGGACCAGTTTCGGTTGCAAAAAAACAGCAGAGATGTTGA